ACAAAATGGGCTACTCCTTCCATGCTCACGGGTGCCGTAAAAGATGACTAGAAGAACTTAATGATCAAGGGTTTTTTTTAATGGCTGATAATGGAATGGTAACCCCGCCTGCGCTAACGGTATGTACTGGCGGTGTACCAGTGAGGGATGATAGGTGACAATGAAAGCAGGTCAGTTAGCCCATAGTGACGAATTCCACTAGAATTAACCACGATAGTTTCCAGGGGAAATCACATAGAGGTCGACCTGTTAGGGTGTATTGCTGGCAATGGGGTAGCTAGATCCCATTACTAACAAGCCCTTCCCCACCTACGGTCAAGGAATAGGCGGCAGCGTCCCTCTTAAAACATCACCAAAGTCTAACTGCGGTGGCCAAAGTAACAACTACTGGCAGACCCACAAAACCCCCCAAGGGGAGGCCTTAATCAGCAGTGGACAGCTAACGGCTGATATGATAATGATTCTATTAAACCGAAGCACAGTTGCGTCATAGCAGAAACGGGGTTATCACTATAAATTTTACATTATAAAATCACTATAAAATTTACATTACAAATTTATCACTATAAATTTTACATTACAAATTTATCACTATAAATTTTACATTACCAATTTATCACTATAAATTATACATTATAAATTTATCACTATAAATTTTACATTATAAATTTATCACTAAAAAGTTTACATTATAAATTTTTCTGTATAAATTTTATATATAATGTAAAATTTATAATGATAATAATCCTGTTGATTGAACAATATCGAATTCGATGCTTAAAGCAAATACAAGTGAGCTCATCCTTGTTCAAAGATGTCACACAATCATATCAATTGTCCTCACTATAAACGAGAATTCTTGCTTGCATTATATGCCAAACAAAATTATATTCTACAAAATAAATCTAATCCAATCTCGATCAAGTTAATCGATTCTCAATTCACCATCATATCAGCCTTTAACTGTCCACTGCTGAACATAAGCCCCCTTGGGGGGTTTTGCCAGTAATTGCCACGCTTGGCAAGCAGATTGGCAATCGCAGTCAGGCTTTACAGGTGTTCTAAAAGAGACACTGCTCATCTCTCGCCGTTCCTTAGTCGCCTCATATGATACCCACGGGAAAGAAAGGGGTAGCCTATTCCATGCCGGGACCACATACCCTATCAGATAAGAACCTAAAAAATAATATTTATTTCTTTATTAATTTAGTAATCAATTCAGACTAAATTTGTCATTTACGTACTGGCTAACGCAGTGTAGGACGACCCCCCACTAGATGGTGTGACGACCTGAAATACATTGCAGGAAGTCAATGGATGCAGGTGGCTCAGGACCGTTTTTTATGGCAGTCTGTAGGGGAGGCTTATGTCCAGCAGTGGACGGATAATGGCTAAAATGAATGAATTGTTCAATATGATGCCCACAGCCACTTTTTACCATCGTACGGCTCGCCATCGACAGGGAGTTCATCCTCATGTCCTACAGCCTCAATGGTCGCGTACTGCGCGGTTTCAGAGATATTTCCTCCCACGAACTCAGGTTGTGGAATGAGCTCCCTGCCGATGTTTTCTCAAGAGACTACAGCATGGGGTTCTTCAAAAGGGGGTGTAAAGAGGTTTCTTCAGGGTCGGCAACGCACGCGTAATACCTCTGGTATTGCAGGTGTTCATAGGCTACGGTAACCACTTAACATCAGGTGGGCCGTATGCTTGTTTGCCACCACAGTGGTATAAAAAAAATGAAATTTATCAAAAGGAATTGCGTTCATTTTATTAAATGCAATATCATATTCCCGAAATTCCCACGGGAAATAAGGTATTGTAATATAAATGCATACGATATTCGAAATACGTTTATTCGCCCGACTTACACGTATATTGGACTAACTTAATTGAACACATCGCTTATTATTGTCCAATAAATTCTCCATAAAGCGTCCAATCCCACGGGATTGTACCAATCACATTACAAGATGGCCACTTAGTTGAATGAATGCTCATTAATATACATATATATATATATATATATATATATATATATGTATATATATATATATATATATATATATATAACAAATTATATAAAGAAATAAGCTATTACACCGTAAGAGAATCTGAAATGAATAAATTATTAATGAAAACAATGTTTACCCGACTGTGGAGAAAGAAGGTAATGTTTTTCGAGTGTTTTTTTTTTTATACAACTTAGAATGGCAAACAAGCTAACGGCCCACCTGATGGAAAGTGGAACCGTCGCCGATAGATATGAGCAGTACCATGGACATAACAGAGTATACTGTTTCGCCCATGATACCCCCCATGCGTTGCCATTCCTGAGGACTCAGATATTATTCCTCTGTACTCTGTAAATTCACGCCATATCCCACCCTTCAAACCGAAACACAGCCATGCAAACACAACTACTTTACGGTTGAAACACGAATGGGATAAAGGTACCCAAGCAAACGACCTTTGTACAAAGTCTCTGACCTTTGATGTGATGTAGAATTTAAACGATTGCAATGCAACCCTCCGGGGGGCAAGGGAGTGTTAGTAATGGGATCTAGCTGCCCCACGGCTAGCAATATACCTTATCAGGTAAACCTCCACATGGTTCTACCTGTAAATCATCGTGGTTAATTCTTGACGAATTCGTCACGATGGGCTAACTGACCTGCTTTCATCCTCACCTATCATCCCTCATTGGTGCCTCGTCAGAGTATACCGATAGCGTCCGCGGGGTTACCATTCCATATTCACTAATTTAAAAAATGCAACCTTCCAAATTGTAGTCCTGGGTGCCATGTCGTCGCAGCATAAAATGGGCCAATTCCATAATCACTAATTTAAAAAATGCAACTTTCCAACATGCGGCCCCGAAGGTCACATGATCCCGGCGTCAAATGGGCTACCCATTCCTCTCCCATGGGTATCGTAAGAAGCGATTAAGAGATGTGAATAGTAGAAGGATGGGCAGTAGCGTCCCTCTTAAAACATCACCAAAGCCTAACTGCGATTGCTAAAACGCCTGTAAATTATGGCATCTACTGTCAAAATCCCACCAAATTGAGGGAGGTCTACGTTCAGCAATGGATAGATAAAGGCTGATATGATGATAATCCTACCAATCAAACCATAACTTATCCATACAAACATGGCTACATTGCGACACATACAAGTGTGAAAGAGTTATCCAAGCAGGCGACTTTTATGCGATGTGTGTTTCTACTGTGAAGCAGTTGTGTTTGCATGGCTGTGTTTCGGTTTGAAGGGTGGGATATGGCTGTGAATTTATAGAGATTACAGAGGTATAACACCTGAGTCTTTAAGAATGGCAACGCATAGGGACTATCATGGGCGAAACAGTATACACTGTTATGTACATGGTACTGCTAATGTCTATAGGCGACGGTTACCACTTTCCATCAGGTGGGCCGTCAGCTTGTTTGCTATTCTATGTAAGTAACATAAAAAAATAAATCTCCCTTTAGTTTAAATATTGATAATCATACAGTACTATCATACCTACTTGTACAACAATTAGTCCATTACCCTAAGGTTGTCTTGAAAAGATTGCTCTCAGCAATAAGACCACCTTACTGTACTTATACAACTGTATCGTTACATTTATTAATTGTCTTGTTTATTCCCTATATTGTATAATGCAAATAAAGTTTACTCATTCATTCATTGATTGATAATGTTTTTGTTAAAACACGTTCAAATATTTGTATAAATATTTGATAGATCACAGACTACTTTTATCAGTATTCAATCCCAGAAGTTCGACTAATATTTTGTTACAACAATGAACCTCTGCACGAACTTGAACTTGATAAATGTAAATTGAAATGCAAAGATGTTATACCCTTTTCCTTTATTTTCATTGAAAAATAATCCCAATTACAATACGCATAAATTACAATTTCAATCACATTGTTATGTCCCTGTAAAATATCGTCCAATCAAACATAATTCTGATTCCAATTTCATGCACGTTAGGGTCCAATTCTGTTCTTATAAAGAAGAAATACTTAGCAGTACAAAATTTATAATTTTAAACTCCGTAACGTGTACTTAAGGTTGATTTTTGCTGAGCACACGGTAAACAGATAGAAATAAGTCCGTCCTTATTTATAGGGCTTCATCGCATTAAGGTTTCACGTGTAGGAAATCTTTTGTTAATGCAAATGTTTGTTGTGAGCTTGGCATGTTATGTTTTATCCGACACCTGAACAAAGGATGGTAATGTTTTTCCATGTATATGTTTTTATGGGTGTTCTTTAGCTTCACATGTAGGCTTGAGTAATATTAGGGTCTTGGTATATTCATTTTAATTTATGGAAGCCATAAACTATCTAATAATTGGGAAATTTATTTTACTCTAGAAGAAAGTCTAATTTTAATATTTTGTCATGTTTCTTTGCTTATTGTTGTAATTGGTGGCAACTAGCCACTGTAGTGAACATAACAATAGTATATACTTCACTGAACCCAATCTAATATGAAGTGAAGCAGTGTCCAGCCATTTCTAGAGAGTTAGTTGTAACATTCTATTAGCAGCAATCTTTTATTTATCGTTATAACATTTTAAATCTGACGTTATAACATTTAAAATTTACTTGTATAATATTTTCAAAAACACTTATAATTTTTTTATCTGAACTTGGGACCTACAAACTTAGATCATATAAAATAATTACAATACTCTACTACGGGCACGTCATATCGCTTTACTTAAAATTAAGTGTTATAAATCGATTTAAAAATTACTACTACAATTTGAAAGAGAGCCAATTATATGTCAGTAGTTTAGCGAAAAATGTATGAAAGATGTATGTCATAAAAAAGAGCACGTGCTATTTTTATGGCGTAATGACTCGTTGCTACAATATTTATAGCACACTTTGACAACACGTGTTCACTGTTTAGAAACAATTTTATGGCTTGTTTAAAGTTTAAAATATAAATATAATAAAAATTCCATGCAAAAGACTCACCTAGGTCTCCTGGAAGGCACCAGGAACTTGAGGGGACCGGCGGACTTTCGCCTGTCCTTCACCACTGGCGGCAACAAAAAGTCCTCATCATCAGTCTCTGAACCACCACTGTCCAAATTGACCAAAGCAGGAGCCGACATTCGCCTATCAGGAATGTTCTTGGGTGGTTCTAACATGTCCCTAATCACTTCACAATATTTGCACGCGTTCGCCTCCGCCATATACGCTTTAGTTATAGCATACGCATAATTCTCCAAAAAACACTTATGGCATCCCGGCACATAATTGGTTTCGATATCTGTCGATTCTTCACTCGGTTCTTGCCTCTGAAAATGCAACTTCTTCTCCATAGTCACAATTTTTCTCTCCAATATCTTCTGTTCCTCTCTATGCCTCCTCTGTTCCTCTTCTAATTTCTTCTGCCTAATCTCCTTTAAACACTCCGCCTGATCGTTGTAATACTCGACGCACTGTCGTCGTTCATTCTTGGACGGTTTAGTTGGGCTGCGTTTCTTTAGTTTATTACTACTTATATTTATATTTAGCGGTTCTATCCTCAATGATTTCATTTGTTTTATAATATGCTCCTGTACATAAGGGTGGCTGTAAGACGACAAGTCTTCTACGGTATTGGCAGTGTTCTGTACATTTGCAGTTTTGGCACTAACATCGTTGTCTTTGTTTTTAACAGCTATTTTATCGTGTTTACGCGACTCTTTGATGTGATGATCGCCGTTTGTTTTACGAGCGTTTTTAACTGTACACTTGATGGACGTAGAATCTTCGTCGAGACATGTTTCGTATCCATCTATCTCGTGGTCGATAAACAATAGAGAACTGTTTTCTTCCTGGACGGAGATTCTTGTAGTTGCATCGTAAAAACTGCTAGTTTCGTCGGTGGGTGAATTGAGGCATTCTTTCCAACTTTCGTTGCTTTTTACTTTTTCTAAAACAGTCTTTTCAATTTTATTTTCATCACATTCTTTCCAATATTTGTCATAACTGATCCTTTCTAGCCCGGTCGGTGTAACAGCAAACACCATTTCGTCTGACGTCGATAAATCTCTGCTCTGCTGTTTAGATAAAGACCTTTTTCCTTCTACTTCGTTTCTATCGACTGATTTACTTCTAATATTTAATTCTCTTGGCATATTGAGAACATCGTCTTCTGTTATTGTCATATCGTCATCTTGCTCATCCAATGAGTCATCAGACGATTTCATATCAGTTACTCCATTTAGCTTTTCTTCTTTATTGTTTTTAATACTATCGCTTTTTTTACAGTCTTCGAAACTGAGGTCGCCAAATGCAGATAGTTCCTCGTCCTTTAATGAAGATTCCTCTGGCTCTAGACATATTTGAACCACTTCAAGGCCTTCACCGTATTCCTGGAGGCATTCATGGAATGAGTCCATTCCAGTGTGATCATCCGAAGCCAAGGAGTTTATACACTCCTGTAAAAACAAAAGTCAGTTATTACTTTTGTTAAATTGATCACATAAATAACTTAGTCGTTTTTTTGGGAAATTTTGAGAGTTCTTTAATTTGTTAACTTTATTATTATTATATTTTCGCCAAATTTAAAATTGCGAAACAGAATCTTCATGTGCACGACTCCGTGTTCTAAATTCAAATATATCGTCATTCAATAAAATGCAACACTATTCATTTTGATATAAAAATTGAGTCACTATTTTTTTTTTGTGCGTTTCAAAAACTAATTGGTGACTTGTTATGTGAATATTATAGAATAAACACTCAGTATATATTGAGAAAATATTATCTGTATCCCAAAGCCATATCGTGTTGGTGAAAAGCTTATAACCTTTCTCAAGAGATGAGATATCAAATGCAAAAATATTCTTCCATACGGTAGTTCTAGGCTCTAGAATTAAAAAATTAGCGCGTTCAAACATACAAACCGTTTTATAATATATACATATTTTAATTATTAGTATAGATAAAGGAAGATCAGGCTCCACTTTCCATTAATGGACCATTAACTTCTTTGCCATTCTAAGTTTAATAAAATATTAAATTCTTTATTTATTATATTTTTTATTGAGGCATTAATATAAGTAAGCAACAAATTTATATTAATAATTATTAATTTGGCTATATTTATTGCGCGAAGTTAAGAACAAACCTACAAACAGCAAAATATATGTATTAATAGTACATAGTTAATATATTTATGTTTATTAAATTTATGTACATCTACGTATGTGCTGAATTTTCTCCAAACCAGTCCAGCAGTTTAAAGCTCACATTATTATTATATTTCTATTCTATTTTATTCCATAAAATAAATAATGCCAATAAATAAGAATACTCTTCTTTCGTCCCTCTTTAAATCTTCAGAAAATATCGGTAATTGGAAAGATAAATATCTTCCCAATTACCGATATTTTTAATTATTGAATTACATATTTGAACTACTTATCTCTTTTTGAACTTCGATTTTTGTCAAATTTCTTATTAGGCATTTATAGTCCTCAGGAATGGCAACACATGGGGGGTATCATGGGCGAAACAGTATACTCTGTTATGTGCATGGTATTGCTCATGTCTATAGGCGACGGTTCCCACTTTCCATCAGGTGGGCCGTCAGCTTGTTTGCTATTCTACGTTGTATAAAAAAATAAATAGTGCAACAAGACTTTCTACGACTTATAAATTAAAATGTATAATCAGCAAGGAGTCAGGATTGTCAAACGTGAATCAAAACGAGAAAAACTTCGGGCAAACTTTATTTCTGCAACACACAATAAAGCGTCCAAACAACATTTAACACAGACTTTTAAAGCATTTGACATCGACTTATGAATAATACACAACGTCCTATATACTCTGACATTTCATAATCATACAACGAGACAATACAATCTCAAACGAGTATATTAGCAGGGCCGTGCCTGGGTATATGGCCGCCTGCGTGCCAGTCTGTATGGCCGCCCCCAGGATAACATTAAAAAAAACTACTTTAATTTTTAATGTTTATTACAATCAAACCGGGAAAAAAATCAGTTTTTGGTTAACCGAAATCGGCCCAGTAAACAACTTGTAACGATTTGGCCGCCTCTTAATTTCGGCCGCCTGCGTGCGGTGCACGCAATGAACGCCCGTCAGGCACGGCCCTGTATATTAGTGACAATTTTTATTAATAGAAATATATAATAATCTTCTGTAGGACTACCAAAAATATTAACATACTGGTAGGCAGGAGAAGTGTCTACCAGTGGGTAGGCCGTGGGTTTTTATGACAGTAAAATAAAATATGATGAGTATAACGTAACATGAGTCATTGTTCAAATTCTTAATTTTGTATGCCAAATTCTGGTGTAGAGTGTGAGCAGAATTTAAATATGATGTATCAGCCTTTTGAACACTTTTCATGCAAAATAAAGTAATTTGTGTCTATATTTCATTGTGAAAGAAGTGAGATGAAATTGACATGAAGATACTTAAATGCAGAAACGAAAAATAATATCAATGGATAGCTAGGTAACCAAAGATCTTGAGCCAAAACATAAACCAGCCTAATACGAGTAACACAGGGGAGTTCCCTGCAAGTTCCAAACACAGATGTTCGAGACTTGTTGGGAATTCCTTTGTATTTTTTTTTTAAATTAGTTGTCATTATCAAAGTCTCGTTCCTGGAATCTGGTTTATTTATATTCCAAATGTGGGAGAAATTTTCACTAGTTCACTAGTTTGTAAGTCAGAGTTCGAGGGGGCTCTGAGTTAGAAGGCCCCGGGGCACTGCCCCCAGTAGGTAACTTCTGTACTAGTTATCTCATTTTGTCCATAAATGATTTCAAATTTGATTAAATGTTATAAAATTGGTAAATAGATACTCTACTTTGTATAGAGCGCGCTCAAGTGGTACTTCTAAGGGTTTGTATTTTTGTTCACAAAAGCCTTGTTTTTGGACTGATTTAGCTCAAACTTTAGATTGCGCTACTCATTCATGTTATTTATCATTGATGCAAATTTCAACACCCTAGCTCTTAGCGTTTAGGCTGTAAATTGTTTGAATCAACTAGAGAAAAATTGCGTATTGAGTCCACGCAGTATATTTTGATATGAGTTCCCTTCTCGATTAGATATTTTTTTCAGAAGGTTTGTACGTACTTATAAATTTGTACAAACATATTTTTTTAATAGTTATACCTATGTGTTATTTTCAAATAATATGATATGGATGGCTCTGTTAATTTCTGAGGTTTGTTATTGAGAATGTTACTATTGTTTTCAATAGTACTGTTTATTTTTGTGTGTTTCCTTCACTTGTATTACACATTCATGCAAACTTTATTGGCTGTTAAATTATTATTTAATTGTGTTGTTATTATATGTGTTGTTTATCTTAAATAAATAAATAAATAAAATACATAAATGCTAACTCGCACCGATTCATAGCCTGATGGGTCGCCAGTTTGGTATACAGCTTATTCGCAACGTATATCAGTCGTGCATATAAATACATATATCCACATATAAATAATATTTTATCTATTTGTACAAATAGTAAATATTGTCTATATCTAGAACTATAACCACAGTAAAAAATAACTCTATAAATAAAAGCTATGTCGCGCCATAATAATAAAATATAATTATAAAATTATTTATATTTAGCCTTTAATATCATTTCATTGATTGATTTTTTCAGATTTACATACATTATTTTTTCCATTTACATTGTATAATAAAAATATTTATATAAATAACTATTAGATAAATAAATGTTAAATAAATAAATTTATTATTATAATCTTAAATGAGATAATAATGATAATGAATTATCTCAGTACTAATAAATTATATTTATAGGCAGACATTATTTATAAGGTATTTTTTTGACAAAACATACCTATCCTTAGACTTAGGTTTTTTTTAGACATTTTGTCAGGATTATCCGGGATAGACTGTTATGAATACATGTTTTAATGTCTAATAGTAAATAATAGATATTTTTACAGTTAATGCCTCACTTTTTATGTAACTATTTATTTATTTAAAGGAACACCAACAGCATATTGCATTATAACACATATAACAAACATTAAATACAATGCAATATTAATGCACATGCCTATTATAGGTACTCACAGCATTTACTTTAACATAATTATACAGTATGAAATGAAGTAAATAATTAATGATCAATATATTAAACTCCTGCTGAACAGTCTTATTTCTAAAACGTTTTATCACTTCATCAATTCATTAACATTTAATTATAATTACCACACATTTGTTTTTTATTTCATTAAATTGATGATGCCTTGGCACAACCCACACTTACATAAATTTTATATATTTAATAATTCCATTTAATTAACTTTTAATTTTTTTATTTATTCTCTTTAATATTCTTACAAACTATGATATGTTCTTAAGTTTCCTGTAAGCAAATTGAAATTGTCTATTTAATTTAAACATTCATAAGATAAAATGTTTTATTCCAGCGACATTATTGTATTTAAAAATTTATATATTTTATATGATTCACATATGACATAATAGGTTATTTAGTAAGGTTTTTATGTATCATAGAGTAGGTTTTGTATAGAAGTTGAGATTTGAAAATGTGGAATAAACATTTCTAAATAGAATATAATTGTCTGCAGATTGACTTGTTAATTTAAAACTTATAATACAAATAAATAAAAGAATTTACTCTTATAAATTGATATTAATATATTTAAAAAATAATTTATTTTATATTGTTAAATAATAACTAATGAGAGTTATATATTTATTAATATTTTTTAAAATTTATATTACCCAATGAAAACTTAATGTATTCATGTAAAAAAACTAAACTGTTCTAAGAAAATCAGTCCATAAGAAGAGAATAAAGAGAGACGTTATAATTTTAGGCTCATTGACTATCACATGTAAATTGACTACAATACAAACAAACATACAACCGTCTACAAATGACACCGATTTATTCTATCACAATTCACCTTCAGTTTTATTATTGTAGTATAGATATGCTCACGACTGTAATCCCAGCTGGGGTAGTTAGAAAAGAGATTCCTCACAAATAAGTCATTAACTTTCATCACGTATTTATTATAATGAAATACTTCAGGGGTATATATGTTTTTTTTTTCATATCTATTTCTATTAAAATACATGTATAATAAAAAATATTTTGTTTGTAAAATTTTTTTAGAAACAATAATAATGATATTTGTATGAGCAAATTAATCTTTTTTATATATACATAATTTGGTTATTTAATTAAAATTATTTTGTTTAATTCCGCAACCATTATTATGTGTGTGACTGCCAACACTCGAAGCCTGACCACAACTATTACTACCAGAAGTTCCACAATCTTCAATCTTCGAGTGTTGCCAGTCGCACACATACTAATAGTAGCGGAATTAAACAAAAAAAAAATCTAATAACCAGTGATTTGGACTATCGCAAGATAACAGTAGAATATATAACTAATTTATTAAATCATATAATTAACGCTATAGTGATATGTTGTGTTATGTTCAAATACCCAGATCAAAAACGATGTTAATAAGATATATCCTTAAACAGACCGAGACTCGAACCTGGTACCTCTTTTATACAAAGTAACGTATCTACACTCTATCACTCCGCTAAGGAGGTCGTGTGCTGTGCTGATATTTACCTGTTTCAAATTACAGTTGTGAGCATATTATATATATATATATATATATATATATATATATATATATATATATATATATATATATATATATATATATATATATATATATATTTATATAAAACTACATTGACATCGCATATTACATATATATAATATATTGTTTATAAATAGTAATTGCATTTAATTTATTAACATCTGGATGGCTCTTCTAGCACTTGCAATATTTAGTTTAAATAAAGCCTAAATACCTAAGTAAAATCTTAAATCTAAAAGATTAGCAATCGCTTTACTCAATATGTGAACGCGCCATTCTAAACCGGATTCCCACTATTTTGCTGGTCTCAATTCGGCCTCGGTACGGACAGCACTAACACGAGATTCGAAATTGACTATGACTAGAATGGAACAAAAGATTATGAATCAATCGAGATTGTCCGAGAGCGAACCGAGATCGTCCGAGAGTGAACCGAGGCCGGTATTATAGTGTGGGTCGATCCTTAGTATAATAATAATAAATTCTTTAATAAGGATGCCAGGACTCACAGGTTTTTTTTTTTTTCAAATTATTATAATTACGGTTATAGTTGGGCTCTTGCGACATGCAACGGAACAAAATGGTTCATGTCGACAGAATCCGACCTTGAGAAATGTCGAGAAAAAAATTGAGAGGTTTAAATATTTTTCTCAATTTTCAAAGCGTTTCTTTTAGAAAAATATGTAGTTTCTTTTGTAGTACACTTCCATAAAAGAACATTAATTATTTAATTGTATAGATATGTAGAAAGTTTGACTCCGTGCAACATATTTGAAGTCTACACTCTATCTGAGAGTGATTTTACCACATTTCCCCTACGAAGTCGAAAATTATTATTCTCCAGTCATCAGTCTAAATAACTACGTACTTATACTAAAATCTAAAATAACAATTAAATTTTGAGCTCATCACACTGCATCGTGCCTTCATTTGTACAATTACCGTTTTCAGGTATTTCAATTGTAACCATATATCGCAGTCTATTCTCATGTCATTTCATGGTAATTTCAGCTTTAATCTTAGGCGGAACCCTAAATGAGGAGGGTAGGGTGGGCTCGATCATATCTTGAGTACACTGCAGTTGCAATTCCATAATATCCTGGTGCAACGACATGATCAATCGAAGAATTTTCGTAAAGTATTCCAATTTCTGTAAAAGAAAAATAATTATCTCAAAAAAAAAAGTAAACTACATTTAAAAGCATGCATAAATATTGTACACTAAAGGGAAATAAACTATGGTAATTTAAAAATTAATAAAAAAAGAAAATTAAACATATATTTTTTTTAATCTTAGAGCGGTAATTCCATTCCCTTTACTGTACACGAAAATCGTAAAGTATCAATAAAAATTTATTAATAAATCGCATGCTGTATTAACTTTAATAACAGGTATAAATACTGCTCTAAGCGTCAACAAAAAGCTTTAATAATATAAATGCCAACTTACTTTAATTTTCCCCTGAGTGTACAATATCACAACACTTAATAAACTGTTTTATTTACAACAAATTAAACATATTTCTTTTTTATTTTTTTAATTTATAACAAAAAATGTTTATACAAAATTAGGAATCATGATTAAGCATAGCGATATGTTGCCATATTTAATGATAATGTATTTTCGTTTTTAAAATGATCGATAGTAATATTTATGATATTCACAAAAAGTAGAATTTATTTTATTTTGTTTAAAAAATATTGATACAAAATTAGAACTCGTGATAAAGCGTGGCAATGTGCGCTGTACTGAAGCAGTATTGGATGGTAAATGTACTTTTTTTACTGTAAAATATTTATTTCTAGTATTTTTAAAATGATTAATTATTTTGTACATTTACGAAAAAAATAAAACATCGTTTTATTTTTAACATTGTTTATAATCATGTTTACATAAAGTTAGGCGGAAAGTGCTGTATATTTTTATTTTGCCTTTTATTACGTGACACATAGTCAATACAGAATAATATAAATCTATACTGAAAGATAGTAAATTTTAATTTCAATACATCTTTAGTTTATTTAACTCGTCAATTAAATATTAAAATGAAACAAAACAATACACAAGAGACCCCCATTGTCGGTAATTGAGAAATCTCATTAAAAAACACCGTTTGTGATTGGTTTGTGATTAATGATAATGGCATGTTATTAATGTTGATAGTTGTCATAAACTTCGTCAAAAATAGGTGATACGTGATGATGACAGTTTTTTTACTTGGCATATTTAATAAAAACAAAAACCGGGCATGTTTTTTAAAACCAAATTACATAATACATTTGATATGGAGAAAGACAGATAAATGTTTACCTAGTGGACCTAGGACCTAGTGACATGTATACTTGTAACTTGGCAATCTAATAAATTTAATCAAAGAATTTACTTACATTTGTTGTTTTCACTAAATTAATATGGAAAACAACACTGGAGCAAATATACCATATCAGTTTGCAAGATATTGTGTAATTTTATAATATATATACATATAATCAAAAATACATAATATGCATTTAAGAAACTCCTACTTTTGTAAGTCGCTTAAAAATATATTAAAATAATAAATATGACAAGTAAGTCAAAACAGAATTAAAGTAAACGATCACAATAATGATAGCTTTAATAATGATGAAATAACACGAGTAAGGACAATTTATGAAAGTAAATAAATACGTACCTGACTGCTCTGTGTACTGTGTCCGTTCGCCTTCTCGCCCCCAACTACGGTACTGCAAGGTAATGGCTTCGCTACGCCTATAGTTACAATTCCTGAAACAAATAATTGATATTAAACTCACGTCTCACTTAATTTATTTACTTTAGATAAATGTTTTTATTAAAAACGATATTATCACTAACATTTATTTAAAATAATCTCACGAAATAATTATTAAATTATAAATAAGTAAAATAATAATTTAATTAAATTGTAAATGAATTAAATAATTATTTAATTCATTAATTTTATATTAATTAATGCAAACACAAATACTGACAGATTAATTATATTTATTTACGATTTAAAAAAAATAATTAAAGAGCGTAGAAAAATTAATTCTAATACCTGCTATATACACAACGAATACAATGCTCGTGAAATACTGAAGTGTAAAATAATAAACAAGAGATTGAACGTGTGACAAGGTGTTAATACCGTAACGTTTGTGATTTGAACAACCGTGAAACGACGCGCTAGCAGTGTTTGTTTTGATAACTGTGTTATTAAGATGAAGTCATACTCGAAGCCTTTGCGAGAGAATGTAAGGAACCAAAATTAAAAACAGCAGGTAAGTATGTAGGCATTACGTTTGGTGGCAGAATTTATTGGTCTCCCGCCAAAATATGGGTATATTATTATATTCTAATAACGCTAACAGGGCTATCCTGTTCGATTAACAACGCTTTAAAAGTTATCTTAGTGAATAAATTGTGAACTTATTTTAATTAAGCACATTATTTGCACACAGCAATTTATAGCAAATTATTTGCATTATTTGTAATTTAGTTATAATTTTAATATTTATTTAAGGCAAACAGACAGTTAGAACAATACATAAGTCATAATATAACCTATCGTTGCACCAAATAACACTCAAATCTTTTTAGCAGTTTGCGTAAAAATGTAATAAATATTTTACCATACAAACAACTTTATAAACTTTTATATTTATAACAGTAATTTTTATTAATTACCACAGTAATTCTTTTAATTTAGTAATTCTTTTGAATTACCACAGTGTAAGTCAAAATGCATGGCCAGTGGCTAACGCCTTAACTGTGTCCCAAACGAATATTAAACAATTCGGAGAACTAGTAAGAGATTTCTCTACACTGTGCCAGTGTATTTTATTATCTGTCAAGTACCATACGTGTAGTGTTTACAATGATTAGAGTATGTCGAGGTTCTATTTGCATTGTTCAGATAATAACTGTACCTATTGAATTATAATTGTTTTATTACATCAATATTTTGTAATGAATTGTAGAATCTTACAAAATGGTATTTTTAGTCTAATTGTTATATAAATTTCATAGAAATAAAGATATTTTTTTCATTGGGTGATAATGGAACGGTAACCCCGTCTGCGCTACCGGTATACGCTGGCAGGGCACCAGTGAGTGATGATAGATGTGGATGAAAGCAGATCAATTTGAGAACCGAATGTAAAGTATCACACACAAGCCCAAGAGGTTTAAGTGGTACTAAAAATCCAATTTTTTTTTATGTATTTATGTATGGTAATTAAATAAAAGAAAAAAAAATTGGCTTATCCAAGATAATTTTCCAAGATGGTTTCTAGTGAAAATCGCGTGGAGGTCGACCTGATAGGGTATATTGCTAACAATAAGGCTGTCAGATTCTCATTACTAACAATCCCTTTCCCCCTAAAGACCTCAAGTAACCCTTGTTCAGAAGTCTACATAGGCACCGCTGTCTTTAAACAATTTACCGTTTCATCATCATCGTCATATCAGCCTTTGACCAATTAAGTGCTGATCATAAGCCACCCCCTTGGGAAGTTTTGCCAGTAGTTGGCACGCTTGGCAGGCGATGTTTGTATCGTAAAAAGATCATTGAGCCGCTTACCCTTGGGTGCAGTCTTGATTGCAGCGACGGCGGCGGCGAGCGGGCTGCGCGACACGTCGCGCCCGTTGACGGAGACGAGGCGGTCGCCGGGCGCCAGGCGGCCGTCCGCCGCCGCCGCGCCGCCCGCCACCACCGACCGCACCACGATCACCGAGCTGCCCGGCTCCGACGGGTCCTGGTACACACAAAAACAATAAAGGCCACACTTTTTTTTTATTGATGGGTGAAAATGGTATGGTTACCCCGCCTGCGCTAACGGGATACGCTGGCGGAGCACCAGTGAAGGGTGATAGATGAGAATGTAAGCAGATCAGTTAGCCCATCATGGTGAATTCACCAGGAATTAACTTCGATAGTTTCCAGGGGGAACCGCGAGGAGGTCGACCTGGTTGGGTATATTGCTAGCAATGGGATTTTCAGTCTCCATTACTAATAATCCCTTTCCCCAAGGCCACACATTACAATTGGTGTGACCAATCACCTGGTCTTTAAAATTAAAATACCCTGTATTACGAGAATCCAGGCAATAAAGACCTGGAGGCTTAACCCAAAATACCCTAACTCGAACCAATTTAAAAAAAAATCTAAATTGGCCCGACCGGAAAGCAAACCTTATTTATGCAAAGCAAGGAGCTCACTACTACGCATGAAGGAGGGGGAAGGTATTGCTAGTAATAGAGACAAAGAGCCCCATTGCTAGCAATACATTGAGGAAATTAGTTATTTAGTTGCTTTTTACGACATCCATACATTTTTAAACATTTTTATTTAAAACAAGCAGTAACGGAGTTTCTTGCCCATTCTTCTTAGCTGAATCTGCATTCCAAGTTGAACAATAGAATTTAGAAAACAACTATCGAAAAATGCTTAAAATTAAGTTTACTTGAATATACGCATTTTTTGTTTAACATAGAACAATAAAGAATGTTTTTTTTTATACAATTCAGAATGGCAAACAAGCTGACGGCCCACCTGATGGAAAGTGGTAACCGTCGCCTATAGACATGAGCAATACTATGGACATAACAAAGTATACTGTTTCGCCCATGATACCCCACATGCGTTGCCATTCCTAAGACTCAGGTGTTATTCCTCTGTACCCAGTAAATTCACGCCATATCCCACCCTTGAAACCGAAACACAGCCATGCAAACACAACTGCTTCACGGTTGAAACACGAATGGGACAGAGGTACCCAATCAAACGACTTTTGTACAAAGTCTCCCTCTGGTAAATGTTGTGGCCTACCTGATGAAAAGTTATAACTATTGCTTATAGACATGAACAGCATCATAACTTTGTAACGCTCATGATAACCCTCATGCAATCCTAAAGACTACCGTATTATGCCTCTGTGCCTTGTAATCTCACTACCACATCCTACTCTTCAAAAACATAACCATGTAAATACGAGGGGAGAAGGGATTGTTAGTAATGGGGATTAGTAGTCCCATTGCTAGCAATATACTCTGTCAGGTCGACCTCCTCGTGGTCCCCCCTGGAAACCATCGCGATTGATTTATTGTTAGATTCGTCACGGTGGGCTATCTGACCTGCTTCATTCTGACCTATCATCCCTCACTGGTGTCCCACCAGTGTATACCGATAGCGCAGGCGGGGTTTTCATTCCATTATCATCCATAAAAACAAAACCATGTAAATACAACTGCTTAGGGGCCGGATCACTAGTTAAACTTCTCTCTTTAACTCGTTCTTCTCTTCTCTTATTCTACTTACCAAATAGTCGAGTATGGAAAACCCGAGCCCCCTCTCTTCCTTCTGCAGCTGTATGTACTGAACACGGTCGCTCCACATCGCCAGCCCACTTAAAGGCTCCAAGGATCTGGATCTGTTCCGTTCTAGCGATTCACTGCAGAACTCTGTAAAGTATAAAAGCAAAATTAGATAACGTAGAAGCAAGGATGAAATATATGAGGGCCCTTTTCAAATAGAATGGATCTATTTTGGTATACCCTGATAATATAAGAGATGGTGTGGGAAAGGGATTGTTAGCAATGTAGTTTGACAGCCCCATTGCTAGCAATATGCCTTATTAGGTCGACCTCCACGTGGTTCCCCCTGGAAACCATCGTGAACAGTTCTTGTCGAAATCGTCACGATGAGCTAACTGACCTACTTCATTCTCACCTATCATCCTTCACTGGTGCCCTGCTGGTGTATACCGATAGCGCGGGTAGGGTTACCATTCCATTATCATCCATTAAAAAAAAAACATAAGAGATGAGTTTTACCACATTATGAATTATAGCATACACATGCTACTTTTAATTTATTTTAGTGCCTAGAGTTTAGCAAATGACAATTTGTATTTAAAAAATAACAAAGTTTTATTTATATAATTTACTAGCTTTTACCCCTAACTTCTTACGTAAATCTTCAAATATGTGACTACTTCTATTAACCTAAGTTTGTCTTGAAAAGATTGCTTTCAGCAATAAGACCGCCTTACTGTACTTATACAACTGTATCGTTACATTTATTAATTGTATTGCTTATTCCCTATATTGTATAATGCAAATAAAGTATACTCATTCATTCATTCACTTCTAGATATTTTTGATATTTTATAATCGACTTTTATACAAAGTCTCCCTCTTATCAGAGAGAGACTTTGTACAAAAGTCGATTGCTTGGGTGCCTCTGTCCCATTCGTGTTTCAACCGTGAAGCGGTTGTGTTTGCATGGCTGTGTTTCGGTTTGAAGGGTGGGATATGGCGTGAATTTACTGGGTACAGAGAAATAACACCTGAGTCCTCAGGAATGGCAACGCATGGGAGGTATCATGGACGAAACAGTATACTCTGTTATGTCCATGGTACTGCTCATATCTATAGGCGACGGTTACCATTTTCCATCAGGTGGGCCGTCAGCTTGTTTGCCATTCTAAGTTGTATACAAAAAAAACATATACCATCTAGGAAGTGGTTACATGTTTGAAAGTCCATATTCTCGTTATCAACACATTTTCAGTTAGACCTTCAGGAAGACAACTGCAATAACCACATCCTATTGTAATAGTTGTTTTTGCATAATGCATGAACAAATATACAGACAGACAGACTTAATTTCTAAATATTATTATTATGATCTTTTAATTTTTTAATTTTTCTTAAAAAACTCCCATACAAATATTGTCTTGTTAAAATTGTATTATATTCGTAATATTAAGTAACAAATAATTATACTATATGTATAGTAGTAAACTAGTACCCATTGCAAAAAAAATAACACTTATACCGAAGCTGAAAACTTTGTAATTTCGAAAAAGTACTTTATAAAAGTTAGGAAAAAATATATAAAAAAAAGTGCAGCAAGCCTCTTAGGTACCCTACCAGTTGGCAGTGATCTCAAAGACATTTTTTTATGTTTAAGTAATGTTTTAAGGTCTTGCCTTTGATATTTTTAGTACATAGATGTAAATTGTGTATATAGTAGATAGATAGATAGAAAAAGTAATTTTAAAAATACGATTTATGAAAAAATATCTTCAGTTAGAAACGACGAGTTACGAAAATTGTCGATGATCCCAGGCTTACAAGCGGTATCGAACCCTTAAGGAGAGATTTTGCGTCACTCTGGTGTTCTACCGTTTGTACAACGGATTGTGCTCAGAGAAATTGTTCAATATGATGCCCACGGCTACTTTCTACCATCGTACGGCTTGCCATCAACAGGAAGTTCATCCTCATATCCTACAGCCTAAATTGCCGCGTACAGCGCAGTTTCAGAGATATTTCCTCCACGAACACTCAGGTTATGGAATGAGCTCCCTGCTAAGGTTTTCCCAAGAGCCTACAGCATGGAGTTCTTTAAAACGGGGGTAAAGAGGCTTCTTTGGAATCGGCAACGCGCGCGCAATACCTCTAGTATTGCAGGTGTTCATAGGCTACGGTAACCACTTACCATCAAGTGGGCCGTATGCTTGTTAGCCACCTCAGTGGTATATAAAAAAAAAAAGAAATTAACACGGAAATAAGGAGTAAAAAAACAAACTATAAAACGTTGAAAAGAGAAATAGAGTGGAAGGGAAGAGACAGTATCACCGTCGTGATCATGACCGGCAGATAGAACGGTTGCGGCGCTGCACAGCGACGCCACTGAGCTCTCGGACTTGGCTTTTATCAGCCGCTGAGGCGGTGCTAACAGGTCCTGTAGACTGTCGCCGAGGATTTGATTCTAGAAAACAATACATTGTAAATCTTAACAGAGTGTCTTCATCATCACTACATAGTATAAAATGAAGTCGCTTCTCGTCTGTCTGTCACTATGTATGCTTAGATCTTTTTAAAACTGTATTGATGCAACTTTTTTTTAATAGATAGAGTATATAATAAATGCTTAATATAGTAGAGAAACAATAAGAATTTTAGAGATTTCTAATGTGATGTCGTAAAAAACAAATTTCAAAAAGGGCGAGTCGCTAGTTTTTATATAACTTGGAATGGCAAATAGGTTGTAATGACTTGCCAGACAGGAAGTGATAACCTACAAATATGAGCAGTACCATGGACTTTACAGAGTATACTAGCATATCGTCGTACCACTCCTGAGTTGTCATTCCTGAGGACTAAGGTGTAATTTATTTATTTATTTACTTATTTATTTATATATACATAATTTTGGTGAGCTTTACAGATTTACAATGTACTCACCAAAAACTAAAAAATGGAACATTATAATGATACAATAATGGAAAAATAAGAATAATAATAAAAAAAATCTAATTAAACAAATATTAGACTATTATTTAGTAAAAATGTTATGCCTCTCTGCCTCTGTAATTTTACAGTCATTCATCACTCTTCGAATCTTACCACCGCTATCAGATACAGCTTCAACAGAATATCAGTGTTTTGCTCTTTTGAGGGCAAAACAATAAGCTAAGTTGTGACCATTTTGTATTACTGTGGCACATGACGAAAGGAAAAATTATGTTACTTCTTTTATGTATTTTTCTTTCTTTTTTTTTTGTATATGTATTCTTTTATCTATTCTTTTGTGCATGTCTATTTATGTCTATTGTTATTTGTGTGTTATTTGTGCTGTAAGTAATATAAATTAATTATATTCAAGAGAGAGTCTCCATACCAGAAGGAGACTTTGTACAAAAGTCGTTTGCTTGCTCACCTCTGTTCCATTCGTGTTTCTACCGTAAAGCAGCTGTGTTTGCGTGGCTGTGTTTCAGTTTGAACAGTGGGATATGGCAGTGAATTTACGAGGTATAGAGAAATAACACCTGAGTCCTCAGGAATGGCAACGCATGGAGGGTATCATGGGTGAAACAGTATACTCTGTTATGTCCATGGTACTGCTCAATATAGTAAGCAAGCAAGTACAGCTACTTCCCTGTAGAAGCACGAGTACGACAAAGATATTGATTTCGAGAGAAAATTGATAGTTTTATTACACGAACCAATATGTTTAATTCCTATCTACAAATAATTCCAACAGAAGAAATATAAATACCCTGGCATATCCGGGTTCCGGTCCGGGCCTCTTCTCGTTCCGTTTCCTCACAACAACCAGAGTGACAGGTGACTGCACAGCCCTCAGTCTGGTCACCAGTTCCACATGGTGGGCGCCTAGTACTCGCCAACCGTTTACCTAGGGGAGAAGGGATTGTTAGTAATACGGGCTACTAGTCTCATTGCTAGCAATATACCCTGTCAGGTCAACCTCCACGTGGTCCCACCTAGAAACCGTCGATGCTGATTTCCAGGTGTATTCATCACAATGGGCTAACTGACCTGCTTTTTCATTATCACCTATCATCCCTTTCTGGTGCCCCGCCAGCGTATACCGTTAGCGCAGGCGGGGTCTGTACCGTTAATGTTTAAATACCGTTAATGTACCATCACACGTTAAGGTTTTTTCATGCCAAATAAATGGCAAACACACATACTGTCTATACATCTGACGATGAACTACCATCCCAGTCTATGGACACAACGCCAGGGGCGCGTGCTGCTGACCTTGAAGAAATGTTAATAGATCCTTTCTTTAAAAACCTACCCGTATACTACAAACTTCACGAAAATCTCGATCTCCCGTTAATTCGCTTGTACATTGACGGGAAGACACTTCTATAAAACCGTACTGTACGCGACATATTTTTTTTATACCACTGACGTGGCAGTCAAGCATACGGCCACTTGATAGTAAGTAGTTACCACAGCCTATGAACGCATGCAATACCAGGGGTATTACGCGTACGTTGCCGACCCTGAAGAAACCTCTTTACCCCTCTATTGAAGAACCCCATGCTGTAGTCTCTTGGGAAAACCTCGGCAGGGAGCTCATTCCATAACCTGAATGTTCGTGGGAGTAAACATATATTGAGTTATCATAAAAGAATTACCTCTAACAGTTCATCACCGACTTTGTAGATGCCAAGCCTGGCCACAGGTCCATTGGGAGCGATCGCCCGTATGTAGTGACGCGCCTGCACCTCCTTGCCAGCTACCACCCTCACCGTGCCCTCCAGTGAGATGCCTAGCCCGCTCTCCTTGTCTTTCATTATTGTACCTACCTGAAGTTAAGGAAAAACCATATTAAGCTTAGTGTTGAAAATCTCAATATTGTTTTTTTTTATCTTTTTTATTTAGAGGCTTTTATCCTGTAAGGATATGTCAGCCTCATCGTACCCTAATTTTATAAAATACCTCACATACTTATAACATTGATACATAAATAGATAATACATAATATCTTAGTAGTCTATTTTGATGAAGGGAATTATTGATACAAAAATATAGTAATTAAACATTTTGCCCTTCCGGAATGTGGTTCTGCGAGTATATTTGAAAATAAACCAATCTCCTGTCTATTGAGACTATATTTCTGTATCAATACTTCCCTTTGTGTAAATATTGTTTTATCAGAAGGAGACTTAAACAGAAGTTGACTACTTAAATACTTCTTCTTCTGGAATTTGTGTGACCAAGCAAAATCTTCCATTTGAAGGGAATAGCAGTAGAATTATAAAGTATATAGGTATAACATTTTAGAAACAGGGGGAAGAGATTGTTAGTAATTCCGACTATCGATTACTAGCAATATACCCTGTCAAGTCACGCTAACTGCCACGCAGTTCCCCCTGAAAACCACCATGCTTAATTCCAGATGTCTTCATCATAACTAACCGGCTCACTAACCGGTAGTTTATCATATCAGTCTTAAACTGTCCACTGCTGAACATAAGATACCAGAAGGAGACTTTGTACAAAAGTCGATTGCTTGGGTACCTCTGTCCCATTCGTGTTTCTACCGTGAAGAAATTGTATTTGCAAGGCTGTGTTTCGGTTTGAAGGGTGGGATATGGTGTGAATTTACTGAGTACAGAGGAATAACACCTTAGTTCTCAAGAATGGCAACGCATGGGGGGTATCATGGGCGAAACAGTAAACTCTGTTATGTCCATGGTACTGCTCATGTCTACAGGCGACGGTTACCACTTTCCATCAGGTGGGCTATCAGCTTGTTTGCCATTCTAATTTGTATAAAAAAAAGCCTTCCCTTGGACAGGTTTGCTAGTCTATGCCATGCTTGGCAGGCGGATTGGCAAGACTTTAGAGACGTTTTAAGAGGGACGCTGCAGCCCATCCCTCTCTCTCCCTTAGGGCTTTTACAACACCCATAGAAAAAGAAAGAGTGGCCTATTCTATGCCGGGACCACATGATCAAACCGGTTGTTATTACATTAAAATATAATATTGCTTACGAAACTTTTAACAAAAATCAGCTTCATTGCCATTCCATTGCCAAAAATTGTAAATGGTCAAACAAGAGTATACTCACAATAATATCATACTGATACTGGTTGCCGGGCCAGTCGTGTTCGTTCCTCAGTATGTCCCGCCACTTGTCCTGTATCCTCCTGGCGTCCCGCTGCGGGGTCTCCTCGTCGCGACCTATCACAATCTCCGCCTCCTCCGAAGGAGACGTGGGTGACGGCAGATGCGGCTGGATCTCGGATTCTGGCTCCGCTTCGATCACCGTCGACTCGTCATACTAAAAATAATATCGAAACAACAGACGATTTTATTATTAAGATTGCATTTCATAAAAAAAACCGACATCAATTGTGACGAAACTAAGTTGTATTGATTTTAAAACTAAATCACTGAATCGATTTTGATAAAATTGTATAGGAGCAATCGGTAAATATATTCTTTAACATAAAAAAAAAGAATTTTCCAAATTGGTTTACAGCTGACGGAGTTATGAGGTAACAAACGTTAAAAACTACAAATGAATTAAAAACACCTACTTTTTGAAGTCGGCTGAAAATCTCTTAAAAAGAAACACGAATCGATTAAGTACATTCAAGTTGTTAAACAAAAAAAAATTGAATTAAATATAGAACGTGATGAAATGAAATTACAATTAAATATAGAACGTGGAATCATGTGTCTACAAGTAGATGTTGTTTTGCAACAGTTTTTGCTCCACAAAGAAAAAAAAACGTCATTTCCTATAGCCATACCAAGATAGAAAATAAGAAATAAATCTTTATAAAAAGAAAATTATTTTAATTAACACGAGTCTTTATTATAAAAATTAGTAAAGCGTCTCGTTCGTCTGAGGTTCAAATCCGGTCTGAATTAAAATATATCGAAAAATTTCCAGCGATTTTTCAAAATTCAAAATTCAAAATTCAAAAATCATTTATTCATGTAGGACATTTTAGCCGCTTATGAACGTCAAATGCATGGTATGACGCATACATTATTGTTAACCGTTGACTGTTTCGAAAATGCAGTTAAGCATTTTTATATTCGTATGTTGTACATAACCACGGCTATATAACACTACCTTTATGGTATAAAAAAAGGGTAGGCCGTCAGCATGTTTGCTTAAAAAAAAACATACCAAAAAACCAAGTTTAAGCTACAACTTTTATATTTTTATTCTCTTCTCCTAGAAATAATTCTAGACAGTTTCAAAAGATTACCTGTCTGTCCCACATGTAAATGAGAGTGTATTCCGACAAACAAACTCGTAGAATACATTTATGGTATTATATTAATATGTTTACTTCTGAGAACGTCTAAGAGATTATGTAAGTAATAGGTAAATCTATTTGATGAATGCTAACAAACACAACGAGAACAAGTTATTTTCAATAAGCATCCACTTTCTAGATTTGTTTTCATGTGTACGAGAGGTACGGATAGAGGTAGTTTACAATCTAATATCTCTGCCAATATCTTACCGTAATAAATCTGACACTAATATAAATAGATGTGGATTTAAAGAACTTGTTTAATCCTACAAATTTTATAAATGTAAAAGTTAGTAAGTCCCCGGATAGATCGTGTGATCCTCGGATAGAATGGACTGCCCCTTCTTTTCCCATGGGTGTCGTAAGCGACTAAGAGAATTTAATTGTCGAGAGATGACTAGCAGCGAACCTCTTTCATTCTTTCTTAACATCGACAAAGTCTAATCGCGGTTGCTGACCCACCTGCGTAACAACTATTGGCAAAGCGCTTCGTACGGAGGAAGCCTATGTTCAGCAGTGGACAGTTAACGGCTAACATAGTAATGATGATGAGAGGGGAAAGGGATTGTTAGTAATGGAAACTGAGAATCTCATTGCTAGCAATATACCCAACCAGGTTCTCCCTGGAAACTATCATGGTTAATTCCTGATGAATTCATCACGATGGGCTAACTGGCCTGTTTTCATTCTCATCTATCACCCTTCACTGGTGCTCCGCCAGCGTATCCCGTTAGCGCAGGCGGGATTACCACACCATTTTCACCCATCAAAAAAAAAATAATGATGATGATAATGACGAAAAATTAGTTAAGATGTTTAGATATTTATTTACATGACAACATCCAAATAACAAAAGTTATTTTTGTTACTCACTCATGCCTAAATGGCTGAATGGATTTAAATTAAATTTGGTACACAAGTAATAGGTATATAAGATACTTTTTATGCAGGCAAAGCCACGGAGAATAGCTAGTAATAACTAGTAAGTATTCTTCCTATTAGGTTGTTCTAGAAGGGAGAGAACTTTGCTCATAATTTTACTGTATTTCGGATAATTTCGAAAAAAAGAGTTTATTCACAGAATCATACGACTCGAACAGTAATATAAATGCAAAATTAAGTATAACTAAATTAGATATACATTAAAACAAAAGAAAAAAAGAATAACGTAAAAAGCGTTTATAATCAATGAATAACCAGTGGCCGATATATTTCAAAAGGAGAGCGAGCTAAACACTTAAGATAGAAAAGATCGAGTTTTCGAGGCATCCTCGTATAGGTAAACATAGTTTAAGACTATCTGTCTAATGTCCTGTCGATGGACATGGTGACAGGGAGTTAATGGATGCGGGTGTTCAGGACCACATACTGTTAGTCCTTTTTGTCGGGGAGTTGTATGCTCAAAATTGCAAACTTACCACACTAAAACTATATTTGGCGAGCGATGTGACTGAAGGACTTGGCGGTGCAATCGGCGACCGTCTGCCATCTTGCGCTGCTAATGCTCGCTGTAACTTCTCAAACCCCGCACCGCGTAAGTACCTGGAAATTAAAAATTTATTTGTTTTCACGATAGGCTCTAGCTGAAATAGGCTTAGAGGATGGGTTGCAATATCTTGATTTTTGAGACGCTTCCCAGTGTAACCTCAAGATCTTAATTTTACTCAAGAAGCTTCACGCGAACGAGTCTCTTAAGAGTTCCGGGTAAGAGACGACTAAAAGAACTTAATGGTTAAGAAATGGACAGCAGCATCCCTCAAAACATCACCAAAAACCTAACCGCCTGCCAAACATGGCAACTACTAGCAATAGCCACTTATAGAGAAGACCTATATTATCAGTGGACAATTAAAAGCTAATATGAATAATGAACGATTCCCTTAAGATTTTATTAATTGTAGTTCTATATACACATACATACATATCTATCACGTTTATTTTCTATTAGGTAGGCAGAAACAATAGAATGCCAAATACTTAAATTCGAACAGACTCTTATCGCTTCCTTTACATTCCTCAGTGTATTCATACACGTTCACCTAGTACGGATACTTTTAATTTGGCCCTTCTTCACCACGTCGCCTATTTGGTCAACAACAATAACGAATACTCTTAGCGAATACCATTTATTCCTACTACTATTCGATAAATCTCTTTCGTAAGTCTTCTTTCATCTTTCCTTTCCAAATAGCCAAATCAACGCAACACTCCCTTTTTGATCGTTGCCACTACATCGACTTTCAGTTCATATTTCTCTATATTTGAAGTTCCTAAATATTGAAAACTTATGACCAGGATTTTTGTTCATTCACTTTGCCATTCGCTTAATCATTCGTTTCTTCACTGTGCACCTTGCTTCGTTCAAGTAGCTTTCAAATTGTATATATTTAAAAATCAAAAAAACTGAGATTTGCCAAGAGAGTAAACGTCTTTGTACACCAAGAGTCCTTGGTTAAATACCTGATCTACTCAAGTTTCTACTGCCAAGTGCTTGTACAACTGTTTCGAGTTAAAGAGTGGGATACGCCAATAAAATTTCTGAGTACGAAGGCATTTTTAATACTTTGGTAAAATAGCACATGCGAGATATTACGAGCATTAGATTTGGTAAAGTCTATAGTTGTAGACGGCTGTAGTCACTTTCTATCAATTGCTTCCTATTAGCATTTTTGCTAATGAATTGCATAAAAAATGTAGATAAGAATGAAACTGTTACCTTAATGCTTTAAGTCGAACAACTGGACCCTTGGCGTCTCTGAGCAGCGCCACTGCTCTGTGATTCGTTACACCGTGTAACGAAACACCGTCCACCTGGAATCAAAGTATAATTTTAAAAATCTATGTATTATTATTAAAAAAAAACCTAAATGTTTTTCTTTTTTTATACCACTGAGGTGGCAAACAAGTGTACGACCCGCCACTTGGGGGGGGTCAGCTAAATTTAATAATAATAATGATATACTTTATCATTCAGACTACAATGTGGTCCATTTTGTTAGTAACAATTTTCTTACAAACTATGTTAGTAAAAAAAAAAAAGAAAAGTAAATTGATTTAATTAAGCAGTTCACTCAGATGTGAGCCAGCCGACTAGAACAGCATCTGAATGAAATGCCCAATTATAGGCGAGTTATATTTCTCGCCTATTACTTTTAGAATGCTGTTGGTGCTTGTCCTAACCCTGTGTAGCAATGATGCAGTCCTCTTTCTCATTATAGCGTAGTAGTCATCTACGCGAGATTGAGCAAACATGCTAGAAGCGCTACAAATCGCTTTAAATTTAAATTTAATTTAAAAAAATAAATATGTTTATTTTTGAACAACAAAGATATCCTCTTTGTTACTATTGTTTATTACATATACACGTTTACATTAATTAGCTATGCTATTAGTCTATTATCATTAACCGATGCGTTACATATTTGGAGGCCGGTGTTAATTTGCTTCTTGCGTGTATTACGTGACATCTTCGGATTTTCATCCTATTTTTATGTATTTATTTATTTATTTATTGGAAAACCAACAGCTTACAATTTATAGCTTAAAACAATAACAAATTATCCATATAAAAAGCCAATAACAGGTTATTTATTTATTTACTCATATACTTCTGTACATTCACCTATAATAAAAATATTAGGTTATAGCAAAAATGTACAAGTGCACTTATCCCTTAAAGGGGTTTTTCCAATAATCTTGAGAATCCGAAAGGAGAAAGAGTCTATAGAGTTTGTATACCAGAGGAAGACTTTGTACAAAAGTCGATTACTTGGATAACTCTGTCCCTTTCGTGTTTCAACCGTGCAGCAGTTGTGTTTGCATGGCTGTGTTTCGGTTCGAAGGACGAAAAAAATCCTTCTCAATATAATATTAATCTCAATAAAATAAAATCACTTACCCTTTAAACTTAATCTTACTGCTTACTCTGTTGCAGTCAAAGATTACTATTTGCTCTTCTATTACAATTAATTGTTTTATATAGCAATATTTTATGTATTTATTTATGTATAAATTTGTTACATTTATATATTTATTTATTTAATATATTATGTATATGTTTATATTATATGAATATATCCAGTATTGCTTTATATTTCCTCTATTCAATAATACACCGCCTACTTATTTCTCTGTTTGCCCAACGGGTTGACTGGTAGAGAACACCGTCCGGTGTTAAGTCCCTCAAACGTACATAGAATTTTACTATGCATTAAAGTAAAAAATAAATAAATAAATACAAAAGTCATAGTGCTAAGCTGTTAAGACGTTAATACAAACAAATTCACATTTACATTTATAATAAGCAAAAAAAGTAGGGATTTTCAATCACGCCCACCTCACGGCCGATGGCTTGGTAAAAACAGGGCTTCACTTGTTTATTCTACAAATAGATTATTGAATATAAACAAAATATCTTTAATATTAAACAAAATGAAAGAGAAACAAATAGGTACTCGTACATTTAAATTTTTACCCGTCATAAACCGAGGGACGCAATAAAATCTGTAAATTTTTAATTGCGTACCAACCACTCCCCAGTCGCGGTATGAATACAAATACAAAGCTTAACAAACAAACAAACAAACACACCTTTATTACTCTCACAGCCGGTCGTTAAATGGAAAAATAATATTTCATTTTGTTCTCAACCCTCCTAAGGTCGCCGGAAAATATATTTTTGCGTCATAACGCAATCGCCCTTTCGAAACAATGTGAATGTCTCGTCGCCATTCAATTAACATATATGGCTAATATACTTATGTAGAACAAACAAACAAAACATTTATTTGCATATATACATGAAAGAATGGTAGGTGTTGTTGGAATATACATACATGCATTACATGATTGTTTTTCTTCTAAATATACGAGCATTCAATTTCCTTACTATTTATTATAAATGCAAAAGTTTGAATGGATGGATACTTGTTACTCTTTCATGCAAAAACTACTAAAAGAATTCGAATGAATTTTAGTACAGGGATAGGTTATTATATAAGTTAGACTTTATGTACTAATTCAGGTAAGCGAAGACACAAGATAGACTCAAGTTATACATATGAATGTGGGTTTGTTTGTTTATTACTTCTTGACGTCTTAGCAACTCAAATCATCGTCCTAAAATTTATTATACACGTACTATTTGGTATGAATAAGAATATAGACTATAAAACATAGACTATTATATTTGGAATAGAGAAGAACATAGACTATTATATTTGAAATGGAGAAGAACGAAGACTAGAGAACATAGACTATCATATTTGGAATGGAGACGAACATAGACTACAGAACACAGACTATTATATTTGGAATGGAGACGAACACAGACTACAGAACATAGACTATTATATTTGGAATGAAGACGAACACAGACTACAGAACATAGACTATTATATTTGGAATGGAGAAGAACATAGACTAGAGAACATGGAGTATTATGTTTGGAATGAAGAAGAACATAGACTAGAGAACATAGACTATTATATTCGGAATGGAGAAGAAGATAAACTACAGAAAATAGACAATTGTACTCGTGAACGGGTGTTTTATTTGTGGGCACAGATCTGCACATGTTTGCTTATTTATTCTCCATTTAATAATACATATAAATGGAACTTAATTCTAGTTACAATCACAGTATCTATGCAAATGTAAAATTATCTTATACAGTTTAGTTTGAAAAGAGTAACTGTTAAGTTTCTTGCGGGTTCTTCTCAGATAACAACATTTTGCACCCAGTTGTAGAATCGTATAGAATTAACCATTTAAAAGAGCTTGTAAACAAGTCTGTTTGAATAATGATTATTTCTATTCTATTCCTTTACTACTTCTTCTGGTCTCTTTTTTTTATACCACTGAGGTGGCAAACAAGCATACGGCCCACCTGATGGTAAGCGGTTACCGTAGCCTATGAACGCCTGCAATACCAGAGGTGTTGTTGTTGTTACCACCGGCAAAACCGCGCGCGTTGCCGACCCTGAAGAAACCTCTTTACCCCCCTTTTGAAGAACCCCATGCTGTAGTCTCTTGGGAAAACCTCGGCAGGGAGCTCATTCCATAACCTGAGTGTTCGTGGGAGAAAACATCTCTGAAACAGCGTTGTACGCGACTATTTAGGCTGTAAGGTATGAGGGTGAACTCCCTGTCGATGGCGAGCCGTACGATGATAGAAAGTGGCCGTAGGCATCATATTGAATAATTCCTCTGAGCTATTAATGTAATCCAAACACACGAGGAAAAGTTAGTTCGACTAATAATAGAAAAGTTTGTAATATTTGTTACATTTTAATTCTTCTTACACGACCTACTTCCAAAATCCACATTATACGTGTTCGCAATCAAAAGCTAGACTAGAAAGTGTTAAGATCTTTCTTTTTATCATAGCACGACATATGCCCACACTATATCCTTAGCGAACACAGACGAAGACACGACAGACGATATGATCCATGAATACGATCAACCGAAAAGAGAATGTTCCAGTCTCAACAGTTGGCTGCACTATGCCGGCTCGCTAGTACCTTTTATTATTTAATTTTTTATTTCTTTTTTTTTTTTAATAGATTAACTCAAAGGATACTTAACTGATTTAAAAGAATTCCTTCATCTATAGAAAGATACATTGTCGGCGAGTAACGCACGCTTTCTGTTCTTACTTGTTCTTCTTATTAGCTGGTAGGGAATGCCACATTATTATGACATTAACTAACGAAATGCTTTCTTACTGTACTGAGTTGACTGGAAGAGGTCTCTGTCAGAGATAAGTCCACCCTTGCTCACAACATTTATAAATAGATTATTTTATATGTAACTTACAAGTGCAATAAAAAAATATATATATAAATCTTACCAATTGTACAAAGTTTTATTGTGCAATAAAGAATAAATGACATGATTAAATTATGTTAAAAAAAAATGATCATGCGAAACCAATTCCGGTTTGCTATCAACATACCCTATCAGGTCTACCTCCACGCAATTTCTCCTGGAAACCATCATGACTAATTTACCGTTGAATCGTCACGATGAGCTAACTGACTTGCATTATCATCCTCACTTATCATCCCTCAGTGGTGCCCCGCCAGTGTATACCGTTGGGGCAGACGGGGTTACCATTTCATTATCATCAATTAAAAAAAAACAATTCCGATTGTTTGTAAAGTATAAATAAATAAACAAATAAATGAAGAATCCTCCTCTTAGAAGTTATTTAAGTCACATTTCAAATAGCTTTAAAACGAAATTAGATATTTACATTTCTCTAAGTTATGGCAACGAGTAGTTAAGTTAAGATATTAGCAAACTTCTACGGTACAGAGACTTTAATATATCATAAAGGGGATCCCCTAGAAGCTTTATAACAGAGTCGTCGGCTGCTCAGTGCTCAGGCAATGAGGAAAACCTGGGAAACTTGTTGGTATAAATCTTCGCGTATGGGCCATTTCACAATGACAGATATTTTTTATTACCTTACACCCGCTACTTCGTTGGGGGGAAGGGATCGTTAGTAATGCGGGCTACCAGTCCCATTGCTACCAATATACCCTGTCAGGTCGACCTCCACGCGGTTCCCCCTGGAAACCATCGCGCTGAGTTTCAGGTGTATTCATCACGATGGGCTGACTGACCTGCCTTTTTTCATTATTCACCTATGGTGCATCGCATCCTACGATTGAGAAGGCAATTCAAACCAATTCAAATTTGAATTTGAACTGTTTGTTAACTATCCATTGCTGAACATAGGCCTCCCCATAAAGGGTGGTTTTACCAGTAACTACTGGCAAAACGAGAGGGAGACTTTGACAAAACTCGATTGCTTGGGTACCTCTGTCCTATTCGTGTTTCAACCGTAAAGCAGCTGTGTTTGCATGGCTGTGTTTCGGTTTGAAGGGTGGGATATGGCGTGAATTTACAGGGTATAGAGGAATAACACTTGAGTCCCTCAGGAATGGCAACGCATGGGGGGTATCATGGGCGAAACAGTATACTCTGTTATGTCCATGGTACTGCTCATGTCTATAGGCGACGGTTACCACTTTCCATCAGGTGGGCCGTCAGCTTGTTTGCCATTCTAAGTTGTATGAAAAAAAAATTTGTAATTCGAATCAACTAACTACTATCATAAGAAAAAACAACGACTACTACATTCCTGATCAACTTAAAGTAACAATAAAAAGTAAAGCGATCGCATATTACTTTATTCCACTCCTAGTACGGGTAACACAGTATAGCGGCGCTATTTAAAATTCAGAAGGCGAGCACGTAGCACACAAAGCGGAGTTACACTTGACCTGGTTACTTGAAAGTCACTGATTAACAAGAAACCCTCAATTAAACATACGACCGAGGTAAACTCACGTCTGAAATCTTTGCTCAGTTAAATAAAATAACTCGTTTTTTATATCTTAAATTATATTTATATATTTTTAATTTCTTTTTTATACAACTTAGAATGGCAAACAAGCTGACGGCCCATCTGATGGAAAATGGTAACCGTCGCCTATAGACATGAGCAGTTCCATAAACATAACAGAGTATACTGTTTCGCCCAAGATACCCCCCATAATATACCTATGATTGGACGGAAACGATTGTTAGTAATGGGGATATGTTTTTTTTTAATGGATGATAATGAAATGGTAATCCCACCTGCGCTATCGGTATACGCTGGGGGGCACCAGTGAAGAATGATAGGTGAGAATGAAAAAAGCAGGTCAGCTAGCCCATCGTGATGAATACACTTGGAATTCAACACGATGGTTTCCAGGGGGGATCACGGAGTGGTCGACCTGGTTGGGTATATTGCTAGCAATAGGGTCCTTATTCTCCATTACTAACAATCCCTTCCCTCCCAATGGGGATAAGTTGCCTATTGCTAGCAATATCAGATCAACCTATCCCGCCTGGAAACTATTGCTGTTAATCCCTCTCGATGGGTCTACTGAGCAGACTTCATGTCCATCTATTATCACTCTCTGGTGCCCCGCTAGTATATACCAAGAGCGAAGTTGAGGTTACCATTCTATTTTCATCCATTAAAAAAGTCAGAAATATTTTACATTCCAAGTACCTTAAGCTCGCCTATGTACCTTTGCTTTCCACTGTCATATTTCTGTATGTACTATTTTTTTTTATGGGTGAAAATGGTATGGTAACCCCGCCTGCCCTAACGGGATACGCTGGCGGAGCACCAATGAAGGGTGATCGATGAGAATGAAAACAGGCCAGTTAGCCCATCATGATGAATTCATTAGCAATTAACCATGATAGTTTCCAGGGAGAACCGCGAGGAGGTTTACCTGGTTGGGTATATTGCTAGCAATGGGATTCTCAGTCTCCATTACTAACAATCCCTTTCCCTCCTGTATGTATCATTAGTGTGTACAATAAAGTATAAACCAATAAATATTCAATATATACTGGTATTACAAAACGCGGTACCGCGTGTTTACAAGTAGTTTTAATATAACAACAGCTTCGTTACAAAATTAGATTCGCTTCTCTTGAAAGTTGCTTAACAATTCTAATTCAAAAACAGTAGTGTTCATATATTGTACACAGTATATATGTATATGTACATATATATATACTGTGAATTCAACAAACAAGCACGTACTACTGCATGGAAACGAGCTCAATTCGAAAGAAACCCTTGACCTGGTTAGCGGAGATGTAGCCGACTTGGTTATCTTTGATTGTTTGCGACTCCCTGTTACTTGACTAAATATTTATTTAGTACATTTTTTTCACGTAAAAGGAAACAGTGAGGTCCATTCTGAGACGTCACTTCTCTATCTTAACACTTCACTAATATTTTATTTTAATAATCTTGCAAAATTACTATTTTACATATATATATATATATATATATATATATATATATATATATATATATATATATATATATATATATATATATATATATATATATATATATATATATATATATATATATATATCTGTCACACCTGTCTCCCATTAGGGTAGGCAGAAACAATGGAACGCCAAATGCTTCGATTCAAACAAACCTCTTTCGCTCTTTTACTATTTTACGTCCCATTAAGAAATAAATTTATAGTAATTAAATTTATAGTAAATGTTTTCTTTCTTTCTTTCTAATTTAGACTTAAATCCACTATAAATTGAGTTCATATTGCTTCTTAAAATAAAGACTTCTCTGTAATATCAAATTGAAGGTGATAGATTTGGAGTAACGTCGTCTCGAACTCGACCCGGTAACATCGCGACAAAATAACTGGTTTATCTGTAAGAAAAACCAGTCACTCATGATTAAGGGCCTCTGATGGTAACGAAAATAGTCGAGCATTTTCGACAAAAACCCATGTAAGTTTATCCGATTTTTCATACATTTAAATTATATTGTATATTTACGAAACTTTAAACAATAAAAGTATAAATAACCAACAATATTCTTATTTCTTATTTCAATATTTAATATCAACACTCAGGTTATGGAATGAGCTCCCTGCCGAGGTTTTCCCCAAGAGACTACAGCATGGAGTTCTTCAAAAGGGGGGTAAAGAGGTTTCTTCGGGGTCGGCAACGCGCGCGTAATACCTCTGGTATTGCAGGCGTTCATACGGTAATCGCTGAGCCATATGCTTCTTTACCACCTCAGTGGTATAAAAAAAATTATTGTGTTTATATGTGTATAAGAAATAAAATTATTTTCAATACATAAATTGTGTTTATTTATTTATTTATTTGATCAACTAGGTGAGTTTTACAGTCACCCAATACGCTCACCCAGGAAGGCATCAGTACAATAACACATACTTTACAATTATTATTAAAAGGAATAATATTAATAAGATTTGAATCCAATAACAATAATAGAAATAACATTAGATCTTAAATCTCTGAACACAAACATCTTGTGGTCATCCGACGAAACTCCAGCAAGTTGGAGGCAAACACGTCTAATTGTGGATATGGGCTCAAAACATCATTGAATCGTTTTAATGCAAGAGAAAGAGATGGGAGCTTACTTGGCCGACTCTGTTCTTCTATATATTATACTTACATACTTGTTTAACTGTGTTTTTTTACAATACAGGGGGCAAACGAGCATGCGGCTCACCTGATGGTAAGTGACTACCGCCGCCCATGATCACCCACACCACCAGATTACGTGATAAGCAGGATTTTGCAAAGAAACACAACATCATGCAACGATGCCAAAATTCTAATGACTGCAATCTGAAGATACATCTTATTAAATGGAAAATTATCGAAATTGAAAAAATACCGCATGAATACACAATAAATAATTGTGTGGTCTCGGTATAGAATAGGCCACCCTTTCCTTTCCCGTATTAGTCGTGGGAATCGACTAAGGGAAGACGAGGGATGGGCAATAGCGTCCCTCTTAAAACATCTCTAAAGCCTAACTGCGGTTGCCAACTCGGCTGCAAGTGTGGCAGCTACTAGCAAAACCCCCCAAGGGGGAGGCTTATGTTCAGCAGTGGACAGTTAAAGGCCGATATGATGATGATGATGAAAACAGAAACTTATTAGAAATCTGTTTTTTAAACCGTTTAAAAATGGGCCCATAACCTGTCAAACATTTTAGTTTTTTTTTTTTACTTTCACATATTGCTTGGCTGCTACTCTTACCTCGACAATCCTGTCGTTGACTTGTATTTTGCCACAAAGGTCCGCAGAGCTGCCTTCGCTGATGCTTTTCACGAATATACCGCTCAGTTCCTCTGTAACAAAATCATTTAATTCAATTTTTTTTTCAGAAAATGTCTGTGCGAGTCAAACATACGACTAGTTGTACGACATTTTTTTTTACAACGCAGGGGGCAAACGAGCACGCGGCTCGCCTGATGGTAAGTGACTACCGCCGCTCATGATCACCCACAACACCAGCGGCATTGCAGGTGTGCTGCCGGCCTTTTAAAAAGAATATACTCTTTTCTTGTGACCCCCTCAGCGCTAACAGTATACGCTGGCGGGGCATCAGTAATAGATTATAGATGAAAATGAAAGCAGGTCAGTTAACCCATCGTAACGAATTCTACAAGAATTAACCGGGATGGTTTCCAGAGGGATTCGTGTGGAGGTCGACCTGACAGAATATATTGCTAGCAATAGGATTGTTAAAACCTATTACTACAATCCTCTCCCCCATACGGGTAGGTTATATCCTAACTTAACACACACTTCTACCGTAAAACAGTTGTGTTTGCATGGCTGTGTTTCAATTTGAAGGATGGGATATGACGTGAATTTACTGGGTACAGAAGAGTAACACCTGCGTCCTCAGGTATGGCAACATATGTGGAGTATCATAGGCGAAACAGTACACTGTTATGCCCATGGTACTGCTCATGTCTATAGGCGACGGTTACCACTTTCAATCAGGTGAGCCGTCAGCTTGTTTGCCATTCTAAGTTGTACGCAAACAAAACCGCGGAAAACAACTAGTATCTATATAATACACGAAGGAGAGGTGGTGTTAAACCACAACACCATAACGATCGTCATTCATCCTCAATCAATCAATCAATAATTTACAAACAGAGGGAAACACAGCCGTCGCTCGTCTTTAATAAATAAGTCCAACACTAATGCATATTTCCCATTCCCATTTGGCACGGAAAGCTATTTTGAACACATTCCGTCCACGTACATAAATCCCATCCATCTTGTATGTAATGACAAAACAAGCTAGCCTATGGCGGCGTACAGAAATAGCGGGTATTGGCTGAAAGTCGATATTGGAAAAGTTTATAAGCTCACGCCTCGCGAGACCATGTTATGTACTAGTCAAATTGTACAATACGCCAATATATAAAACGACTAGCTATATTTTTTAAGGGACTTATCACTTTACTCTTAAAAATTAAAACCTACTAATAACCATATTGGTAGGGGGGGGGGGGGTATGTTCAGCAGTGGACAGTTTATAGCTGATACAACAAACCTATTGGAGTGTTTTGCCACTTTCTTTCAAATTCAAAATTGGGAATTCATCGCAAAGGAAAAAGACAGAACGCTTCAATAGCTAAAATAGATTTATGAAACATTTCGCATTTTTAGGGGCAGTATCTTAATTTATTCTTAAATTATTATTATTTGTCAATTGGTGACTACAGTAGGCGATAATACCACCGATTCGATATATCTTATTGTAGTATTTATATACTTTTTACTACAAACCTTATGATTTACTCCCATGTGGATCTCATTTTGTAAATATATTTAAATTACCATTTTTTTCTGAGCAAAAGGACGGCTTCGAAGCAAAATTGTCTTATAATCACACGTCACTACATTTCATGCATATAATATATATATATATATATATATATATATATATATATATATATATATATATATATATATATATATATATATATATAATATAGGATGATTCTTTTTTTTTTTATACAACTTAGAATGGCAAACAAGCTGACGACCCACCTGATGGAAAGTGGTAACCGTCGCCTATAGACATGAGCAGTACCATGAACATAACAGAGTACATGAACACAACTGCTTCGCGGTAGAAACAAGAATGAGACAAAGCAAATGATTTTTGTACAAAGTCTCCTTCTGGTGGTGATGATGCAGCTGGAAACTCTAGAATTTAGTTAACATTTTGCACGAAACGTTGATACAATGTGTCGAACATTGATTCGACTATTACATTCTCCGTAAACGTTGATCTGATCCATCGTAAAACGAAACGACTCCTCTTAAAATGTCTAGCCGTTATGTGTAGCGACGAATATATATATATTGACTGCGACATAATAGAGCGAATAGTAACAATAGAATGGATTTATGATTCAACTGTTTCAGATAATGTGTATATATATATATATATATATATACACTCTCGGTAAACGTTTTCTCATATTATATACATTATTTCTAGAACTTTACATGAAAATACATTACATTTTTAACTAACCACTGAGATACAGGCTCAGCCTAGTTCGGTGGCTAGTAGATGTAACTAGGTGTGAATTGTTATTAAATAAAGAATTATAAATTATAAATATATCGTACTACAACTATTATATTCCACCGTCATCTAGCAACCCTATTGCGGCACATAAAAATTGCGATTAAACAACAGGGGTTGATCGTAAAAGCAATAAAAATTTTCATAATTTTAATTTGTATGTATATTTCAATGCTAAATCATAATAAAATAAAAATAATTTTCAAAAAAATAAAAAAAAAATTAAAGGTTGGGTCACCCCTATCATTGAGGGGTATGAAAAATAGATGTTGGTCGATTCTCAGACCTACCCAATATGCACACAAAATTTCATAAATATCGGTAAAGCCGTTTCGGAGGAGTTTGGTAACAAACACCGCGACACGAGAATTTTATATATAAGATATATGTAGGGCCTAGCATACATTTAGCCACTCCTTTTTTCCCGTGAATGTTTTAAGAGGCGACTAAGGGAGCTTATGGTGGAGGAATGGGCATCAGCGAACATGACCAAAAGCCAAACTGCCAAGCGTAGCAACTACTGCCAATATATATATATATATATATATATATATATTCTCCAATATGCTCCGTACACAATTCCTAGGTCGTCCAATCCACGTAATCTTAGCTCCATCCATCGAAGTTAGCCGACGACCTAGCACGTATCTCAAATGCTACTAACAGTACCCCAGTCACACTAATTTGACGTGTGCAGACCAGTGGGGATCTAAAATTAACCCGCGCCAGCCCAACGCTGACCCGGCGTAATCTTACCACCCTATTTCCACAAAATCACTGAGCAAATATAAAAAAAAAGACATATTGTCTATTTGCAGACGGTAATTCTAGGAGATAGATATATCGATTATACATTTTATAGTACCTACAGATGTATTATTTAATTTCAACCTGACCCTAATACAGGGGATCTGGGGGGGAAATATTAGTAATGGGGTCTAATTGATCCATTGCTAACACCCCATCAGGTCGACCTCCCTCGGTTCCCCCCGGCAACCATCGTGGTTAATTCTAGTGGAATTCGTCACGATGGGCTAACGGACCTGCCTTTTCATCCTCACCTATCATCCCTCACTGGTGCCGCCAGCTTATTCCGATTCCATTCCATTATCACCCATTAAAAAAAAAAATACTGGGGATCTACCATGAAAATTTGTTCCAATATATCAAATAATGCTATTTCGTTCGTCATAAACTCTCATCTCAAACCTACTAAAGAATAATCAGTACTCAAAGAACCCTATATCTATATTAATAGTGTTATTTGGTTGTTTTTTTTTTTTTTTTGTATGATTGTAATGGATAAATCCAAAAACAAACAAGCTACATTATTAAGTTAGACGGGCTATATATTACTTTAAAAAAACGCACACCTGCAATGCTGTTGGTGTTGTAAATGATCATAGGCAGCGGTAGTCACTTACCATCAGGTGAGCCACATGCTCGTTTGCCCCTGTGTTGTAAAAAAACCTTGCTCTTTATGATTGATGAGAAAGGATAATTACGATAGACATGAGCTGTAATGAGCAGAACTTTTCGCCTTTCTCTTTAGCATAAATAGAACCCAAAAAAACAAACTTTTTAACAGTGGCATATTTAGTTTTCATACAAATAGATGTATGACTCGTATCTCTATCTATGTCGGTGACTCCAGCACTACTAATATCTAAACAAAAAGTATCTAAAAGTTTGTTATTAATATCAGAGCTTAGTTTGAACACAATATGTGCACACAAACAGCCTTGATACTTTTTTGCGACTTGTTCTGAGAACATTGCTTATTTCTATGCTACAACGGCAAATAGGTATCTATGTTTTGGTAGCAAAAATGGTTCGTTGAGATTTATCAGAATAATAAGAGGAACCGGAAAACCGGAGTAAAATCCTACAAACAATTTCCAAGCTAAGCAAAAACTCTGTTGGGTGGGGACAGCGATTTTGTTCTTACAAGCTTTAACAGTTCCGAAATATGTGTACTATAATCTAAGCTTAGATTATATAGATAGAGCATTGAGTTTCAAAAATAGGTCAACTTTTAGTCAGCTAACTGTCAAATTACTGACAAGTTTTCTTTTTTTTTTTATCAGTGTTCTATATACTTACGCATATATCTTGACGTATTATTTAATAAATGAAATAAGTGTTTATGTATTAAAAAGATACAGAAATTATAAGACAAAATAAATATATAATTTATAAAGGAATCACTCATAACTACATATTTATCACGCAAAATTGTATGATAAAGTTAAACCGGTTTTGAAATTGAAATAATTTATTTGCTGGAATAAGATACATTTTTATAGGTGTTACAAGAAAAATAGTCCAATCTTATTCTGCCACACTGTAGGTGTGCAAATATAAAAACTTATTAAACAAAAAATAAAAATAATTTCATCATAATAACATATACATTTGCAATAATATTTTGTCACTTTTTGTATCACTTTTGGTATTTGTTTACCAGAGGGAGACTTTGTACAAAAGTCGATTGCTTGGGTACCTCTGTCCCATTCGTGTTTCAACCGTGAAGCAGTTGTGTTTGCATGACTGTGTTTCGGTTTGAAGGGTGGGATATGGCGTGAATTTACTGGGTACAGAGGAATAACACCTGAGTCCTCAGGAATGGCAACGCATGGGGGTATCATGGGTGAAACAGTATACTCTGCTACGTCCATGGTACTGTTCATGTCTATAGGCGACGGTTACCACTTTCCATCAGGTGGGCCGTCAGCTTGTTTGTCATTCTAAGTTGCATAAAAAATAAAAAAAAATCTATTCATGTCAATTCATTGTATTATAAATTCATTAAAAATATACACAACACGAAGTGAACACATATCTTATCATCATTTATAATTATTTTAACATTTAAAAACTCCTTTACTGAGTAATAACATACATACATACATACATATCTGTCACGCCTGTCTCCCATTAGTGTAGGCAGAAACAATGGAACGCCAAATGCTTCGATTCAAACAAACCTCTCACATTTGGCCATCTGTTTGCCACCATGAGAGTTTCAGTCAAGTTAAGCAATGAACATTATCCAAATTCCTTCATTACTTATTCTTCTCAAATCTCAGCCTTCATCTTATCATTATTTGAATGCGGGATCCTAAAAATAAATGCTTACAGCTCCGTTCCTTGAAACGAAAGGAGCTCATGATAATCCTATGTCGCTCGTGTCGCAAACGTGCGATTTCGTCCCGGTTATCGTGGAAAGATATCAGATAAACCCGAACGGACCGAATGAAAGCACGCTCCGGTGCCTCTCTATACGTCGAATATGTTCCAAAGGGATTCTGTTTTGATGGAACACGAAACGAGGTATTGGTTGTCAAGCGAACGTTCATTTACTAATTAATCATGTCTATATTCTGATTGGAATTTACCGGGAACAAACTTTTACATTGGCATTATTTATTTATCAGATATTGGTGATGATAAAAGTGTTTTTAGGATATGTATTACTGGAGGAAGACTTCGTATAAAGTTCGTCAATATGGATACCTTTATACTGTCCTTTTTTAGCCATTTGAAGCTATTCTGCTTATATAACTGTATTTTGATTTAAAGCGTGGAATATATATAAAAACGCGTGAGCGATATTATGCACACTTCTCTAATGTTCATGGCACGTCCTGAACAGCAGTTTAATTTATTGACGATATTCAGATTATAAGATATTAAGGTTAATATTATTTCAGTTTTCAAGAATGACAAACCATGCCCATAGGCGACAGTTATTTTCTTTCCGTTAGATGGACATATTGCTAATTTGCTATCCTGAATTGCATAAAAGAATTTATGTTCAAAACTTTAGCACAAAGTATAGACTTATAAGTAGCCTTCTTTCTTTTTGTTAATTTTCATTATATTTTGGAAGAACTGGAAAATTGTTAATAGTAGTAATTATTGGTAATTTTGCCAGGAATATCCTATAACAGTCAGGTCAACCTCAATGCCTTTCTTTGCATTGTATATTAAATCATTTATCAGTGTTCAATGTGAATTATGTACAATAAAGATTTTACAAGACAAATGACCTAATTTCATCTTCGTTTATGAATACATCTTGGTACCCCAATAACGCGGGCAGGATTACCATTCCTTCTTCATCTCATAAAAAATTGTAGAAACTAATTATGGTGGCATTAGACTATCAAAAACAAAAGCAGTCGAGTAAAAACCTTATGTCATCATAAAGCTATACTTGCTATTCTTTAAACAATCAACTACACAGACTTTATAAACTCAAACAGCGAAACAATAGACCGCACGGAGTCTATCCGTCGCTGTCTCAAACACAATTACCGCATAATTGCTTGTTTGTGAAGCAAAATGCTCATAATATTCACATGGGGTGGGTTACTTTAATTGACATTATAACAAACATTAATCAGTACTTTATTAAATATTTGTGTTTTGACAATTTCTTTCCAAAATGAACTATTTTTTTATACAACTTAGAATAGCAAACAAGCTGACGGCCCACCTGATGGAAAGTGGTAACCGTCGTCTATGGACATGAGCAGTACCATGGACATAACAGAGTATACTGTTTCGCCCATGATACCCCCCAAGCGTTGCCATTCCTGAGGACTCAGGTGTTATTCCTCTGAACCCTGTAAATTCACGCCATATCCCACCCTTTAAACCGAAACACAGTCATGCAATAACAACTGCTTCACGGTTGAAACACGAATAGGACAGAGGTACCCAAGCAAACGACTTATGTACAAAGTCTCCCTCTGGTATGTGTATTATTATGTATGTGTATTATGTAGTCATAACAATGTAATATTCTCCTGTACTGGTCTTAGTGCTTCATCGGTATTTGGACGTAGTTATACAAAAAAATAAACAAGTTATCTGGATTATCTATAAAAATTGACTGTTTTCTACATAATTATATCCATTCTAACTGATTTAAACAAAATATTACTAACACCGTCGTCTCGTCATCAACATAGGTTTAATCATAAACATTTTAAAGAACCTACCAGATATGCGCAAAGACATTCTATGTCATTGCGCATAGCTATTAGGTTCCCATATCTACCCAGCATACCCTGGAGATTCTGAATAATATTCATTATACTGCCAAAGGTATGGATAGAAATTTTAGTTTGAATTACGAGTTATATTGCAATAGAAGTAAAGTTATGGAGGCAAAGGCGCAACCTTAGTCTTCAAGAATGCCAATCTAAAATACCTTGAGCAGCACAGACTATGTACGACATCCTAAATATTCTTTGTGTCCAGCAACAATAGTTGCTATTCCCAATAAATTACGTAGCAACATGTAATTATCACTAGTTATATTAAAAAAACTTATTAACATTTTGTTCTTACCCTGTTCACAAACATATCCAGCAACAGTGATGCCAAGTCCGAGAGCCGAATCCTTACTCAGCTCGACTTCATAGCTAAGGGTCTCGGGTTCTCCAGTACCTCTCACTGCCATATCTAATGGTAACCTGTTTACAAATGAATATCGTTTTAATTATCAATCATCGTGGCCATGATCTGAATCCTGGTTGACAAAACAGGTAAAGACCTAACCAATGCTATGAAAATTTAAATTCACAATTAGGACCTAACGCAACAAGATTACGGCTAAATAGAAATTTAAATGTGTTAACAACGCAAAAGTTTAAAATTAAGCATGAAAATTGGCTTGAAACATTTAAGCCATTCAGGGTTACAATTTGACCCTTCGCATACCAAAATAATTGCTATTCTACCGCAAGAATAGATAAACTGGTGTTATGTATACAAGAGACAAAATGTTGGAGTACATATCAAATAAATAATTTATTCTTGAAGAAGAAGGACCAGAGGGAGACTTTGTACAAAAGTCGTTTGCTTGGGTACCTCTGTCCCATTCGTGTTTCAACCGTGAAGCAGTTGTGTTTGCATAGCTGTGTTTCGGTTTGAAGAGTGGGATATGGCGTGAATTTACTGGATACAGAGGAATAACACCTGAGTCCTCAGGAATGGCAACGCATGGGGGGTATCATAGGCGAAACAGTATACTCTATTATGTCCATGGTACTGCTCATGTCTATAGGCGACGGTTACCACTTTCCATCAGATGGACCGTTAGCTTGTTTGCCATTCTACGTTTCTACGTTGTATATAAAAAAAAATTATTACAGAGTATCATAACACTCTTTTAATATTCCGCAGCTGGACATGAGTTTTGGGCATTATCGTTGTTATTTGTTTCAGTTGTCCATTATCTAATCTACTTCTGAATCTACCTCTTTTGTGATTTACATCATCCTTTTTCATAAAGAATGAATATTAGCCTACTGAAGATATTTCAGTCTTAGCTTCTCTTTTTTATGCAACTTAGAATGGCGAACAAGCTGACGGTCCACCTGATGGAAATTGGTAACCGTCACTTATAGACATGAGCAGTACTATGGACAACAGTATATACTGTTTCGCCCATGATATCTCCCATGCGTTGCCATTCCTAAGAACTCAAGTGTTATTCCTCTGCACCCTGTAAATTCACTGCCATATTCCACCCTTCAAACCGAAACACGGCCATGCAAACACAACTGCTTCACAGTTTTTATCTTCTACTACTTCATCCCTCTATTAGATATTATTATGGCGTCTTGCAGATCATAAGGAATTGAGTCATTTATTGCATTCTGTCTTTATCACACCACAAAGAAATGTTAAGGCTATCAAATTCATTCCTATAACACCTAAGTGTATTCCCTTAGAAAGAGAACAAAGGTCTTTACATCACACACGTTTTTTACTTCATCCAATAGAAGTTTTGGAGATATTTGGCTCATTTTTTATTACTACACAAATAAATCATACTAATTCATGTCTTTTTACCTCATGGGTGGTGGCTGCGGGTCCGCCGGTGCCAGTATGAGGGGCGGAGGTCGCGGCGCTGGTGCTAGCGCGCCCCGTGGTACCACCGCCACGATTGACGCAACTGGCTGTGAACAATCATTGCAAACAATAACTATAATTTGTACAAATGCCTTTGTCTACCTGTAGTTCTGCAGCTGTGCTCGCTCGTGTGCATTGCAGGGAGTCAGTGTATGCAGGTGGCTCAGGACCGTTCTTTATAGCAGTCTATGGGGGAGGCCTATGTCCAGCAGTGGACGGATAATGGCTGAGATGATGATGATCCCAATATCTCAACTTAACATATAAGAATACTTTATACAATGCCTTACGCGGGTGAAGCCGAAACTTATATAACTAGTTCCTAATATTAGGAAGAGTATAACTTACTCTATGGTGCAGCCTCTCTTCGATAATAGTAGGTGGCGGTGAAGGGGGAGTGCTGTCTTCACACAGAGCACCGAACCCATCGTGCCCTGCTTCGGCCAACCTTCGCTCCAGCTCGATGGGGTCGGCCAGTAGTCTAGAGGGCACCACCGGCGCCTGCGACGCACCCAGCGACTGGTAACAAAAAAAAATCTTCTAGTTTTGAAGGAAATGGCATGGACAAAAATGGCTACTGTTCATAAATAGCATATCTAACGTTAAAAACATACAATCGGATTGACTTTTCTTTTTATTAGATAAATAAACACTTTATTTGAGCCATTTATGACACACGTAAACTAACAAATGATTTTATACAATCAAATTAATTAGATTTTTTTAAATATAAAACAAAAAATAAAACAAAATTATGTTTCCGCCATGTGTGTCGCAGTGACCCAAATAGGCTACAGCTCAGTGATAGTTTTGCTTAAAAGCAAAGCACTGATTTTAAAGCTGCAGCCTGAAGTTAGGCAACAACACGTGCAACGAACCCAGAAAAAATTGCTTTATTTTACTAATATCCAAATATTTTTAAAATTTTAAAGCGAAAAAGGAGGTTTTTTTTAATTGAAATAATTCCATTTTCCATGCAACTTAGAACTTCATCATGCAAAATGATAAAGCGTTATCCGTAGACGTGTACAGCATCATAGAGATAAGGGAACGAATTGTAAGGGATGAGTAGCAGCGTCCCTCTTAAAACATCACATTAGCCTAACTGCGGTTGCCAACCTGCCTACCAAGCGTGGCAACTACTGGCAAAACCTCCCAATAGGAGAAGGCCTATGTTCAGTGGTGGACAATTAACGACTAATATGGTATGGTACAAAGCGGGAAAGGGATTGTCAGTGATGCGGATTACCAGCCCGTGGTCCCCCTAGAAACCATCGTGCTAAATTCCAAGTGTATGCATCACGATGGGCTAACTGACCTGCCTTTTAATTCTCACCAATCATCCCTCACTGGTGCCTCGCCAGCGTATACCGTTAGCGCAGGCGGGATTACTATTCCATTATCGTCCATAAAAAAAAGATGTACTATGGTATACCCCATGCTTTGCTTTGTTTAAAGACTATCGTATAATGGCACACATTCTAAATTTACTGCCATATTTTAAAAGACTTTTAACACCTCACTAAAGCTAGCAAGATATCAGGTTGACCTCTACGCGGTCCCCCCTGGAAACTGTCATAATTAATTATTGTAAAATTCATCACAATGGACCAACTGACCTGCTTTCATCCTCTCCTATCATCTCTCATTAGTAGGTATCCCGCCGACATATAATAGCGCGGATAAATATTTTTTTGATAGATGAAAATGGGATGGCATCCCCACCTCCACACCCACCTGCACTATCGGTATACGCTGACGGGACACCAGTAAAAGCGATAGGTTTTTTTTTTACAACTTAGAATGGCAAACAAGCCTACGGCTCACCTGATGGTAAGCGGTTACCGTAGCCTATGAACGCCTGCAATACCAGGGGTATTACGCGCGCGTTGCCGACTCTGAAGAAACCTCTTTACTTCTTTACTTTCAAATTTTCTTTACTAACAATCCCTCGTTTTCTTTACTAACAATCCCTCGTTTTCTTTACTAACAATGGTAAGCCGTCTATGCAACAGGGGGGGGGGGGGGGGCTGTTGCATAGACGGCTTACCATTTCATACCCACCTATTAAAAAAAACACCGTATTATAATAAAGGCCACTCCATTTCGTATTAAAAAAAAAGCCTCATAAATCTTCGTAAAAACAGCCTGAAGTTAATATTTACAGCCCAAATAATGTCTGCTTTTAATTCACATTATAGTCAGCATAATTTATAGCTGAAATCTATTAATTAATACCATTTAATAGATCATTTATTTCGTTAATAATTAGAACAGCTGTAAAGGGGTAATTAATGATAATAAAGTTATACCTTGGGTAGTTGCTGAGTAACTTCAAAATACAGAAAGTTCTTGAACTGAATTTGTTTGAAAATATCTATTTAAAAATCAGTAATTAAAGAAAAAAACAATTTTAGTTGTGGCAAAACCAGTTATTACGTAGGAGGGAAAGGGATTGTTAGTAATGGAGACTGAGAATCCTATTGCTAGCAATATACCCAACCAGGTAAACCTCCTCGCGGTTCCCCCTGGAAAATATCATGGTTAATTCCTAATTAATTCATCACGATGGGTTAACTGGCCTGTTTTCATTCTCATCTATCACCTTTCACTGGTGCTCCGACAGCGTATCCCGTTAGCGCAGGCGGGGTTAAGATACCATTTTCACCCATCAAAAAAAAACTACAAGAATAACATCAAGTGCCCTTTTTTTACAATTAGGTAATAACGACGTAATACTACCCCAGATACTGAAATTACTTACTGAAGTGCATAAGTTTCATATATACGTTGGAGAAGTACCACTAAGAGATGATAAGTAAGAATTCAATTTCGCTGGCTCATCGTCACGAATTCACCGAGATTAAACTATGACGGTTTTGAAGAGGGAATCGGTGAAAATCGACCTGATATTGCAAGCAATATGACCGCTAGATTCCATTACCAACAAAAAATTTTTTTCCGAATCAATTACTTATTGGGATACTTTTACGTCAAACGTACGTACGTAAAAGTACCCCAGTTACGTAAAGTACCCACTTGAGTGGATAAGCTACAAATAATTATAGTGAGCGTTTCTAAAGACTTTTCATTACATGTCCATCCATATTGCGCTGTAGGAAACTTAATATAAAAAGCATTGTTAAACATCGTCTGGGCGGTGACACCTCATTAATCACTTTGTTAACGTCATACCGTACACCATGCTAGGGTTGTCAATTGTCATTTTTATTTATTTATTATAATGCATTCATGTACATAATATAAAGTTGTTACAATGTTCTTATGTGGAGCAAGTACACGAACCCTGTTTGGGTGTAACAAAATTTTATTGATAGGTAGCTAATATACATGCATTAATGACAATTTAAATGTTAACTAGTTTACATATATGGTAAATACTTGTTTTGTATTTACATTTGTCATGCAATAATTTCGATTTACATTAAATAAATGAACAGCAATTTAAAATATCATATTTATCATATAAAAATGAATTGAAGTCAGTCTAGTTATTTAGGTATATAATATTTCTGGCAATGTGATTAATTATTTGCAATAAAACACAAAGAGGTAACAAACAAACCCATATTAACATTGTTATTTTTATTATTTAATAGTATTAGTAAGGATTAGGATTAGTAAGAACTAATTTTACCCACTACTTCGCCCGTAGAATAGAACAGAACAGAACAGAACAGAATAGAAAACATTTATTGCCAGTAAACACACAATTACAATATAAAATATAGATGACATATACAAAAAGTGTCCCATACTAGGCAAAAGGAACCGGTTCAGCTAATGCTGTGAGTGCCCCAGCGCAGTGTGAACAGCTGCACAGCGCTGGTTTTCAGCCAGTCCCTCTCTTAACAAAATATATCCAAAGTGCAGGGTACGACTGTGAATTGCTTAATTTTTTCATTCTAATTAACTCTAAGCTAAGACATTGCATCTCTTTGTGTTCTCTACCACTTGTATAACGGATTATGTTCTGAGGAATTATTTAAACTGATGCCCACAGCCACCTTTTATCATCGCACCACTCGCCATCGACAGGGAATTTATCCTGACACGCTAGAACCTAAATGGTCACGTACAGTGCTGTTACAGAGGATTTTTCTCCCGCGAACGCTCAAGCTGTAATTTTTGTTCCCTGCCGAGGTTTTTTCTAAAGACTACAGTTTGGAATTCTTTATGTATGGATGTATTAAGGTTTCTTTAGGATTGGTAACGTGCTCGTGATACCTCTAGTATTGTAGGTTGGGGGAAGGGATGTTTAGTAATGCAGCTAACCAATCCCATTGCAATATATTCTACCGGGTCGAACTCCACGTGGTTCCCCCTGGAAACCGTCATGCTGAATTCCAGGTGTATATATTTATCACGACAGGCTAACTGACCTACCTGGGGGAAAAGGGATTGTTAGCAATGGAGTTTGACAGCTCCATTGCTAGCAATATGCCCTATTAGATCGAGCTCCACGTTGTTTTTCCTGTAAACCATCGTGAACAATTCTTGTTGAATTCGTCACGATGGACTAACTGACCTGCTTCATCCTCACCTATCGTCCTACACTGGTGCCTCGCCAGCATATACCGTTAGCGAAAGCGCGATTAACATTCCATTATCATCCTTTAAAAAATGTTTCAGGCTACAGTCACCGTTTACCATTAGATAGCTGTATACTTGTTTGCTACCTTTGTTGTATAAAAATAAAAAACAAATCTAGTAATCGAAGGTATAAAAATAACCACGTCTATGGTATATCTGAGCCTTCTGGTTACCTTACTATCAAAAAGATAACAAAACTGCTACGAACACGTGACGACACGTTCCAAATATGACGGGAGTGACGGAAAGTATCGTATGCCGAGCAAAGCGGACTCCCGCGGGAGCTAAGGATTTGTTTTCCAACAAAAAGAGCAAACAAGTTGACGAAGGGATGGATTTATTATGTCAGTTCAAATAAAGAAACTAAACTAGAGCTGCCGACTTATCAGCTTCGGTATATAACTGTACAATGCTCTTATTTTGTACCTGCTAGCTACCCAAATACAAATAACTTTATTTTGTTTAAAAAGTGTTACGTTTTTTCTTGGGTCCCCCACTTGGATTTTAATTTAATATTAAAAAGACGTCGAGTACTTAATGTGAATCCTTTATTCAATGAACTCATGACAAAGCAAAAAGTGTGAGACAAGAGATGTCATAAACAAACGTCAAAAATGACAATACAGAGATCGTTTACGAAACGCACGAACGTTCGTAAACGATCCTTTTCTAAACTAATTATAATTTACGACAAAAAAATAGTAGAAAGGATGGTAAAAAATATTTAAGTATTGTTCACACTCTTCACCTGAATCTAGCATGCAAATTTCATTTAAGTGTGCCATGCTACGAACACAAAACAAAACCGAATGTTACATATTTACTTATGTCATCATACGTAAATGTATGTATATATACGTACATATATAGTATCTCAACACAGCATTGCATAGGTAGGGACTTTA